AGCTTAATGTGGAAGGAAAAGTGATTCATGTCTTACACATTCACCATTTTGGTGAAACCCAAGAGTATGGGTATGGTGCTTACAAACCTAAACAACATAACTGGGGTGAACTTGGATTCAAACCGACAATCATAGCATGCTCTGGCATGCTCAAGGGAAGCAACTCTGCCATTTTCAAGGGAAGCAACTCTGCATAGCGAATTATGGCATCTTAGGAGACTAGCCACCCATGTGCCCCTTATTGTATTGACATGAAATGCAGATATAAACCTTTCTTGAAAATTATAACATAAACATGAAAGGCCTGGTTTTCATTATGCCTGTGAAACAATTTTTGCTATTATTCATTAATTTACCTTAGATGTTTATTTTAATAATGTTACACAGCATAAAAAGTGAGGGGGTAGAAGTTTGACAGGGTATAGATTTGTCACCAATGAACAGGGCCATCTTGACCACCCACTACACTCCACCTGTTCTTCTGTTACAGATGAAACTAGGCCCCCCTTAACTGCCCACCACACTCAACATGTTCTGTTACAGATGAACCTAGGCCTCCTTTAACTGCCCACCACACACAGCATGTTCTGTTACAGATGAACCTAGGCCTCCTTTAACTGCCCACCACACTCAACAAGTTCTGTTACAGATGAACGTAGGCCCCCCTTAACTGCCCACCACACTCAACATGTTCTGTTACAGATGAACGTAGGCTTCCTTTAACTGCCCACTACACTCAACATGTTCTGTTACAGATGAACCTAGGCCTCCTTTAACTGCCCACCACACTCAACAAGTTCTGTTACAGATGAACGTAGGCCCCCCTTAACTGCCCACCACACTCAACATGTTCTGTTACAGATGAACGTAGGCTTCCTTTAACTGCCCACCACACTCAACAAGTTCTGTTACAGATGAACCTAGGCCTCCTTTAACTGCCCACCACACTCAACATGTTCTGTTACAGATGAACCAAGGCCCCCCTTAACTGCCCACCACACTCAACATGTTCTGTTACAGATGAACCTAGGCCCCCATTAACTGCCCACCACACTCAACATGTTCTGTTACAGATGAACCAAGGCCCCCCTTAACTGCCCACCACACTCAACATGTTCTGTTACAGATGAACGTAGGCCTCCTTTAACTGCCCACCACACTCAACAAGTTCTGTTACAGATGAACCTAGGCCTCCTTTAACTGCCCACCACACACAGCATGTTCTGTTACAGATGAACCTAGGCCCCCATTAACTGCCCACCACACACAGCATGTTCTGTTACAGATGAACCAAGGCCCCCCTTAACTGCCCACCACACACAACATGTTCTGTTACAGATGAACCTAGGCCCCATTAACTGCCCACCACACACAGCATGTTCTGTTACAGATGAACCAAGGCCCCCTTTAACTGCCCACCACACTCAACATGTTCTGTTACAGATGAACGTAGGCCCCCCTTTAACTGCCCACCACACTCACCAAGTTCTGTTACAGATGAACCTAGGCCTCCTTTAACTGCCCACCACACACAGCATGTTCTGTTACAGATGAACCAAGGCCTCCTTTAACTGCCCACCACACTCAACATGTTCTGTTACAGATGAACCTAGGCCTCCTTTAACTGCCCACCACACACAGCATGTTCTGTTACAGATGAACCAAGGCCCCCATTAACTGCCCACCACACTCAACATGTTCTGTTACAGATGAGCGTGAGCCTCCTTTAACTGCCCACCACACTCAACATGTTCTGTTACAGATGAACGTAGGCCTCCATTAACTGCCCACCACACTCAACATGTTCTGTTACAGATGAACCAAGGCCCCATTAACTGCCCACCACACTCAACATGTTCTGTTACAGATGAACCTAGGCCCCCCTTAACTGCCCACCACACTCAACATGTTCTGTTACAGATAAACATAGGCTTCCTTTAACTGCCCACCACACTCAACATGTTCTGTTACAGATAGCATTAGGCTTCCTTTAACTGCCCACCACACTCAACATGTTCTGTTACAGATGAACCTAGGCCCCCCTAACTGCCCACCACACACAGCTTGTTCTGTTACAGATGAACCTAGGCCCCCATTAACTGCCCACCACACTCAACATGTTCTGTTACAGATGAACCTAGGCCCCCATTAACTGCCCACCACACACAGCATGTTCTGTTACAGATGAACCAAGGCCCCTTTTAACTGCCCACCACACTCAACATGTTCTGTTACAGATGAGCGTAGGCCCCCTTAACTGCCCACCACACTCTCAACATGTTCTGTTACAGATGAACCTAGGCCTCCTTTAACTGCCCACCACACACAGCATGTTCTGTTACAGATGAACCAAGGCCTCCTTTAACTGCCCACCACACTCAACATGTTCTGTTACAGATGAACCTAGGCCTCCTTTAACTGCCCACCACACACAGCATGTTCTGTTACAGATGAACCAAGGCCCCCATTAACTGCCCACCACACTCAACATGTTCTGTTACAGATGAACGTAGGCCTCCTTTAACTGCCCACCACACTCAACATGTTCTGTTACAGATGAACGTAGGCCTCCATTAACTGCCCACCACACTCAACATGTTCTGTTACAGATGAACCAAGGCCCCCATTAACTGCCCACCACACTCAACATGTTCTGTTACAGATGAACCAAGGCCCCCCTTAACTGCCCACCACACTCAACATGTTCTGTTACAGATGAGCGTAGGCCCTCCTTTAACTGCCCACCACACACTCAACAAGTTCTGTTACAGATGAACCTAGGCCTCCTTTAACTGCCCACCACACACAGCATGTTCTGTTACAGATGAACCTAGGCCCCCATTAACTGCCCACCACACACAGCATGTTCTGTTACAGATGAACCAAGGCCCCCCTTAACTGCCCACCACACACAACATGTTCTGTTACAGATGAACCTAGGCCCCCATTAACTGCCCACCACACACAGCATGTTCTGTTACAGATGAACCAAGGCCCCCTTTAACTGCCCACCACACTCAACATGTTCTGTTACAGATGAACGTAGGCCCCCCTTAACTGCCCACCACACTCAACAAGTTCTGTTACAGATGAACCTAGGCCTCCTTTAACTGCCCACCACACACAGCATGTTCTGTTACAGATGAACCAAGGCCTCCTTTAACTGCCCACCACACTCAACATGTTCTGTTACAGATGAACCTAGGCCTCCTTTAACTGCCCACCACACACAGCATGTTCTGTTACAGATGAACCAAGGCCCCATTAACTGCCCACCACACTCAACATGTTCTGTTACAGATGAACGTAGGCCTCCTTTAACTGCCCACCACACTCAACATGTTCTGTTACAGATGAACGTAGGCCTCCATTAACTGCCCACCACACTCAACATGTTCTGTTACAGATGAACCTAGGCCCCCATTAACTGCCCACCACACTCAACATGTTCTGTTACAGATGAACCTAGGCCCCCCTTAACTGCCCACCACACTCAACATGTTCTGTTACAGATAAACGTAGGCTTCCTTTAACTGCCCACCACACTCAACATGTTCTGTTACAGATAAACGTAGGCTTCCTTTAACTGCCCACCACACTCAACATGTTCTGTTACAGATGAACCTAGGCCCCCCTTAACTGCCCACCACACACAGCTTGTTCTGTTACAGATGAACCTAGGCCCCCATTAACTGCCCACCACACTCAACATGTTCTGTTACAGATGAACCTAGGCCCCCCTTAACTGCCCACCACACACAGCATGTTCTGTTACAGATGAACCAAGGCCCCTTTAACTGCCCACCACACTCAACATGTTCTGTTACAGATGAACGTAGGCCCCCCTTAACTGCCCACCACACTCAACAAGTTCTGTTACAGATGAACCTAGGCCTCCTTTAACTGCCCACCACACACAGCATGTTCTGTTACAGATGAACCAAGGCCTCCTTTAACTGCCCACCACACTCAACATGTTCTGTTACAGATGAACCTAGGCCTCCTTTAACTGCCCACCACACACAGCATGTTCTGTTACAGATGAACCAAGGCCCCCATTAACTGCCCACCACACTCAACATGTTCTGTTACAGATGAACGTAGGCCTCCTTTAACTGCCCACCACACTCAACATGTTCTGTTACAGATGAACGTAGGCCTCCATTAACTGCCCACCACACTCAACATGTTCTGTTACAGATGAACCAAGGCCCCCATTAACTGCCCACCACACTCAACATGTTCTGTTACAGATGAACCTAGGCCCCCCTTAACTGCCCACCACACTCAACATGTTCTGTTACAGATGAACCAAGGCCCCCATTAACTGCCCACCACACTCAACATGTTCTGTTACAGATGAACGTAGGCCCCCCTTAACTGCCCACCACACTCAACATGTTCTGTTACAGATGAACGTAGGCTTCCTTTAACTGCCCACCACACTCAACATGTTCTGTTACAGATAAACGTAGGCTTCCTTTAACTGCCCACCACACTCAACATGTTCTGTTACAGATGAACCAAGGCCCCCCTTAACTGCCCACCACACACAGCTTGTTCTGTTACAGATGAACCTAGGCCCCCATTAACTGCCCACCACACTCAACATGTTCTGTTACAGATGAACGTAGGCTTCCTTTAACTGCCCACCACACTCAACATGTTCTGTTACAGATGAACCTAGGCCCCCCTTAACTGCCCACCACACTCAACATGTTCTGTTACAGATGAACCTTGGCCCCTCTTAACTGCCCACCACACTCTACCTGTTGTTCTGCTACAGATGAACGTAGGCTTCCTTTAACTGCCCACCACACTCAACATGTTCTGTTACAGATGAACCTAGGCCCCCTTAACTGCCCACCACACTCAACATGTTCTGTTACAGATGAACCTAGGCCCCCATTAACTGCCCACCACACTCAACATGTTCTGTTACAGATGAGCCTAGGCCCCCTTTAACTGCTCATCACGCTCTACCTGTTGTTCTGTTACAGATGAACCTCATCCTTGGAGATGACTATGAGAAGAAGATGGCCGTTGTGGGAATACTCAAGCAATATGCCGAGGATCGGGATGTTGATGTGTTTTGTGAGGCGCTTGGTGTCATTCTTAAAACTCCTCATCAACGACGGGTTCTCAGGCAAATCAGGTACAAACATGAAATAACTAATTTCTCACATATTTAGACAGAATCCATTTTCATAGGAACATTTTTAAAATTTCACACTAATTAATAATCAAACCTCAGATGTATTTTTCTCTCAGGAAAGTCCTGAGTAATAGATGTAACTATTTTTAGCAGCATATATATGTACTGTAGACCAGCTGCAGTTCCACATGTAAAGCTGCATAAACACATACGTTACCCAAGTCTACTGGAACTGCCATCAACCTTTTATTTATTTATTTCACATGACAAACTTTAAGGCCATGATTATAAATGCCTCAGTTTTGGGCACAGCGGCATGGTTATATGACGTTAAATTGGACAATGACTACAGACATTACCTGTGAAGATCTGGGTTAGAATTGGTCTTCAACAACCCATGCTTGTCGTAAGAGGCGACTAACAGGTTCGGGTGGTCAGGTTGCTGACTTATCTGACACATGTCATCATAACCCAGTTGCTTAGATTGATGCTCATGATATTGATCACTGGATTGTCTGGTCCAGGTTTAGATGTAAACAAGTAGAAAGTTCCTGGATAGCATATAGTTTAAATATTACTGAGTGTAGTGTTTTACAGCTAAAACAAACAAAACGTTACAGATGGGCAGATACTCATACTGACTGAACCCATGAAGATCTGGGTTAGAATTGATCTTCAGTAACCCATGCTCGTCGTAAGAGGCGACTAACGGAACCGGGTGGCCAGGCTCGCTGACTTGGTTGACACGTCATCTTATCCCAATTGCGTAGATCGATGCTCATGATGTTGATCCTTGGATTGTCTGGTCCAGACACGATTATTTACAGACCGCCGCCATATAGCTGGGATATTGCTGAGTGCGGCGTAAAACTAAACTCACTCACTCACTCATACTGACTGCTGTGCCAGCACAAATCAGGGTGTTAAAAATGCCAAAACGTGAGCAGGCAAAACTTTTTGCTGTGTTGGCTTTTTACCGGCTCAGATGCGTTGACTGAAACAAAGACATTTTGGTTGTGGACTAATAGTTTGGGGTTTTTGCAGACCTTTTGTGCCACCCAATCACCGCCCCCGATTTGAAGAGCTCATGAAGATGAAGAACCCATCTCACATGTCAAGTGACCAGTCAAGCAATGTGTCTGGAGGCATGGCCCACAAGATCGGATACAGAAGGTAGATGGCCACTCTTTCTTTGCTACCTATTTTTACAGATTTTCCACAACCTAGAAGTTTGCAGAAATAAGAATAAATTAAAAATCTGTTTAACTCAGGATGTTTTCTAATATATTTGACATGAAGTTGTACTTCAGGGATGTATTTAGACCTGTTCAGAGACAGATATTTGTACCAAGAGAGATGCAAATGTCATAAAAATTTCAAAATTTAAATTACAAATTTCCTAATTTGTGACAAATGGCAATAACTGATGATATGGCTAAATAGAAAGACTTGTGTTGCACTATCCAGTCTGAGCGAATTATGAATAGTTTGGAAAACTAAATGCTATTTCTGTCTTATCTGTCAGATGTCTGACATTTATACTGTAACATATGCATGGATTTGAACATCTGTCAGATGTCTGACATTTATACTGTAACATATGCATGGATTTGAACATCTGTCAGATGTCTGACATTTATACTGTAACATATGCATGGATTGAACATCTGTCAGTGAAGTCTTTGTCTCAAGATTACCAGGGGCGGTGGGGTAGCCTAGTGGTTAAAGCGTTCTCTCATCACAACAAAGGCCCGGGTTTGATTCCCCACATTGGTACGATGTGTGCAGCCCATGTTTATAAACAATGTGTAGAAATGTAGAAAGCCCTAAAACTGTCATATCAGGTCATATTTACTTGTGCATATTATGGGTAATATAGTAAACGCTGCAGTATGGGTAATTTTTTAAACTTCCTCTTGACAATTATACGAAAAGTTTCAGTTCATGATGTTAGAACTAATAGTTCTCTACTAGTCGATCTTTGACAAGCTGATTTTGTATATGGTTTTAGAGAGTTCCCTCTTGTGATAAATTCCTAAACACGCTTATTATGGTAAATACTGTAGGTCCTGTCGACTTTTATATTACATTAAAAAGAAACTGCAACTAAACTCAATTCAAACTTTCTTAAATGTAATTTCTGAAGGTGTTTAAGTCTCCTGTCAGTGATTCTGTGAACTACAAAATTTCATGAGAGTCCTATAAAGCACTCTGTAATGATGAGATTTGAAAAAATATATGGAATGTTGAGCATGTCATCAAATGCAGCTCCTGTTAGTATGTTTCCTAGGTGCTTTGAAGTATTTTTAGTTGTAGTCACTGAAGAAGAACAGAACAAACAGCATTGCAGAAGTTGCCAGGTGAAGGATGGGTTTCACATTTCACTCACCAGATTTTGTTCTGCACCAGATGGTTTTGTGAACAAATCAAATTGTGATTTACTGCCTCTGAAATTTCTTTGCCAGTAATGTTAACTGGAACTCAGAATCAAATAAATAATTGAAGTGATTTACCCTTGATTATAATGAGTGAGGTTGTGGGACATTTTTCTAATGCAAATATTTGAAGAAATAGTTCCATTGTACACATGAAAAATTGCATGAAAAATATTGTGAATTTGAACTGATCTTTCACTATAAACAACGTCTATCATGCTGCATGTGTGATTTTGGAAATGGATTTTATTTCTCACGTTAGACTAACACTTAGTCTCTGAATATATATAATATGGATTGTAACAAATAAACCCATTTAAATTGAAAAGGAGCCCCAGTGAGATAGGAGATTGAACCTGGGGAAATCTAGACTTGCTTCATTTGGGGGTTAAGCATTGCAGGTAGGGTTAGGCTGTAGGAAAGATAATATGGTTCAGGGACTGTGACACAGAACTTTTCTCAAGTGACAATCCCTAATTCTTAACTTTTAGTTTGAAAACTGTTTTCAAAGTTGTTATCATGTTGTTGCTCTATGGAAGCAAATATTTTGATCTATTATTCCATGTCACATGATATATTTATATCCTCTACAGAGTAATCCAGGTTATACGAGATGATGGCAGTTTTGGCTTCATCATCAAGGGAAGTAACCCTGCCTACATCGAGAACCTTGATGACGGTGGCCCAGCAGATAAAGCTGGACTTCAGCCAAGAGACTTCATCATGAGACTCAATGGCATTGATGTCAGGTGAGCTATATTTGATATGTGCTTGTTCACAACCAGAACTTGGGGAAAAACTATATTAACAGAAATATATTACTCATAGAATTGAGAAATGACCTTTTTTATGTTTTCCATCTTGTAATATCTGTGATATATAGAGAATTAGTGATAGACATAATTTATTATTCATTCTCAAATAATTTTTTAGGCTCTTCTGATATAAATTGTTTGTCATGAGGCAACTTTTTATCTGATTGATTTGTTAATTTTTCTTGCAGTAAAAGTTCTTTTTGGGAGGGGCGGTGGGGTACCCTAGTGGTTAAAGCATTTTGCTCGTCACACCTAAAACCCGGGTTCAATTCCCCACATGGGTACAGTGTGTTAAGGCCATTCCTGGTGTCCCCCCACCATGATATTGCTGGAATATTGCTAAAACAGCATAAAACTAAATCACTCACTCATTTTCGAGGGTGGGGATTATGATTTTGACTGACTAAAACACCTGTAATTAGGAAAAATATATAAAGATCTTTGACAAAAACATTTTGGGCTGATTCTGTTGTACAGTGAGATGAAATAATAAAACACAAGATTTATCACTGCTATTTATAAGAAACAGTGAATAATCCATACAAAATCTTTGTTCTAACCCAGGATACAATGAATTACTTTGTGTATCTATAGGCAGCCATATGTCTCTGATGGTGTTACTGATTAATTTGTTTTTCATTCGTATGTAGCAGTACTAATCTAGATGTAATCAGAAATATACAAACTTTAAGAAAATTAAAAGTCTTACAACTTTATCAATATCACCATCATATTTAAGGAACTATGGACACACAATACTGTTTTTGCTGTATCTAATGTAATGCTACAACTGCCTTCTAGACGTGCTGACCACAACCGCCTTGTGCAGCTGTTGAGGGACAGTGGGACGGCGCCGACCTTGGAGGTGCTGCGCTGTGTTGGGGGACTCAACTGTGAGTATCAGACATCACATGACCAGAATCCCTGACTTTTAATACTGTTAAGAAACACATTTAATATTAGATTAGAAAATTATGCCGGGAAAAAGAATTCTGTCTGCAATGTTGTTGATCTGATACGATTACATCTTACAGGTTTGAACACTACAATGGACGTAATTACTGTATATACCCTAAAAACTGGTCCAGTCCTTTCAACACTTCTTACTTAGGAGAAAAACAATTTTGATCTGATTGAATTTGATGCACACTAAACACATTTGTTCAAGCAAAATATCATTCCTACAAACACTTTTGATTTTTTGGTGTTTGAATATTTCTAGGCCACAATAAATTCAATGTTAGATTTTATTTGAAATAAAGTCATCAAGGCAGATACGTACAATACCTGTGTCTTGTTTAACACCACGCTCAGCAATAAAGGCCTGTGAGCAATTGAGTCGGGACCTGACAGTACAGTTGTTGATTTGTCAGCTGTAGCCCGTACCTCTCAGGGCCAGCACAGGTTGCCAGGGACCAATCCATCTAGTTGAATCCTATAAGGGGTTGCACATTCTATTTCTTGTCAGCCTAGACCATATTTTAAAGTTCCATCAAGTTGGTTTGTTGTTTAACTCCGCACTCAGCAATATTCCAGCTATATGGCAGTCGTCTGTGAATAATCGAGTCTGACCAGACAATCCAGTGATCAACAACATAAGCATCGATCTATGAAATTGGCAGGGATTTACAGGACGCGAATTCTTGCGTCCTATCCGCATAAAATTGACAATTGATGCAACGAAATCTATTATCGTGCATGCACAGGGACTCAGGAAAAATCCAAATACTTTTTGTAAAAATTCCAATCAAGTAACAATAGGTTATCAATGAGTCTGCTACTTGAATATGGTCTCATTTGCAATTTAATTACTGTAACAATTAATGTAGTGATCATGATACACTATACAATAACAGCATCAATAATAATATTTATGTGTCTGGGACCCCCATTTTGTTGTCCAGGACCCCTGAAAACTGGTTAGAGTCCCAGTGACCTCCCAGTGAGTCTCAAATGCAGGACTCAAGGTAAATCCCTGATTGGGATACGGTGACACGTGCCAACCAAGTCAGCAAATCTGACTACCTGATCCTGTCAGTTGCCTTTTATGACAAGCATGGGTTGCTCAAGACCAATTTTAACCCGGATCTTCACGGGTTTATGATAGAAGAACAGTAAACTATGGTCATAATGAACTCAAAGGGACTAATTTTAGTTCATTGTAACCATAATTCATTTCTGTTGAAATAAACAGAAAGTGACCTTAACCTTAAAACAGTTTGTTATATTCATTATTTCATTATAGCCTCATTGTGTTAAGTGTTACTGTATTGAGTAGTATCTCATCTTGTCATGTAGATACAAAGCGGGGCGGTGGGGTAGCCTAGTGGTTAAAGCTTATAAGTCACGCCAGAGACCTTGGTTCTATTCCGGACATGGATACAATGGTGTGAAGCCCATTTCTGGTTTCACCGTGATATTGCTGGAATATTGCTAAAAAGCATTATAAAACCATACTCACTCATGCTAAAAAGCGTTATAAAACCATACTCACTCACTCACTGATAAAAAGTGATATACATATGTATTATGCTAAAATTGAATGAAATTAAGTACAATACACAATTTTCTACCAGTACCTTTGAGAGATCTCAAGACACATTTACATTCATTAACTCAAATCTACCCATATTCATCATATTTACCTTGATTTAGTCGTCATGATGCTCAGAGGTTTATTCACCTCAGTCTCTGCAAGCACAAGCTACATATCTAGAATAACCAAGTATTTACGTCAATCTGGATGTTTTGCCTGTTTATCCCCTGTTACTGAGCCTATCAGCTTTCATCACAAACAATGCTCCCCTCACAGCCAGCAGCAAGCAGTGGAGATACAGTGTAGTAACGGGAGAATGTCCGTACACAAAACTACTGTTAGAAAGCATATGTTTATACTTGTTAAATATGTTCATTATCAGATTATATATATATTGCATTTGAAGTTCTTTTCAAAGCTCTTTTTTTCAAATAGGAATCATGGAGTACAATAACGGAATTAAAATATATTAAAACTATGTGTTTTCTGTCAAGATAAAAAAAAGTGTGTAAAGAGTCATTAAATTTCTCTCAAATTATCAAAATTTCTTTCTGGCCTTGACTCTCTTTCAAAGTTGTCTAAGAAGTCTGGATGTAATTAGCTTGAAAAAATATAGGTTATATGTTGAAAGGTAATTTAAGCTAATACACTGCAACGTTTCATGATTATTCTGGTGTTAGAAAACACAGATGTTATCAGGTGTTACTTGTTGGTGGATAAATAGGTCGTTTTCCCCACATCTCTGGAATGGCATTAACATGCTTCCTGGAATGCTGCACAGGTTCAGGGGGATCAGCTGGTGCCGACCGTTTACGAACGTGCAGCGCTGAATTAGTTTACTGGGTGAGATAGGGATCAGATGCAGATAGCTGCAGTATTCCTGTCATGGCTTGATACCCTTTGAGGAACATACCATTCCTCATAGAACAATACTTTAAAACTCCACTGATATGCATGGGATTCAAATGTTTCTCTGTAGGCTGATGTGTAGCATCGTGACATTTGCTATAGGTATTTGTCAGTTCAGAAATTGGTTATGTGAATAAGATTTGAATAGTTTGGTTAAGATTGTTTAATAGTGTTTGTTTAATGACGACTTACTTTTTCTGTAGTTGTAGCAGTAGTAGTAGTAGTAGTAGTAGTAGTAGTCTAGAAGTAGTAGTAGTAGTAGTCTAGTAGTAGTTGTAGCAGTAGTAGTAGTCATCTGGGTTGGTAATAGTGGTCACAGTAGTAGTAGTAGTAGTCGTCTAGTAGTAGTTGTAGTAGTCTAGAAGTAGTAGTAGTAGTCTAGTAGTAGCTGTAGCTGCAGTAGTAGTAGTAGCAGCAGTAGTAGTAGTAGTCATCTGGGCTGGTAGTAGTGGTCATAGTAGTAGTAGTCTAGTAGTAGTAGCAGCAGTAGTAGTAGTAGTCATCTGGGCTGGTGGTGATTCAGTCATAGTAGTAGTAGTAGTCTAGAAGTAGTTGTAGCAGCAGTAGTAGTCTAGTAGTAGTAGTAGTAGTAGTAGTCTAGTAGTAGTAGTAGTCTAGTCTAGCAGTAGTAGTAGCAGCAGTAGTAGTAGTAGCAGCAGCAGTAGTAGTAGTATCTGGGTTGGCCAGTAGTAGCTAGTAGTAGTAGTAGTAGTCTAGAAGTAGTAGTAGTAGTCTAGAAGTAGTAGTAGTCTAGAAGTAGTAGTAGTAGTCTAGTAGTAGTAGTAGTAGTCTAGAAGTAGTAGTAGGTAAGTAGTAGTCACAGTAGTAGTAGTAGTAGTAGTAGTAGTAGTTGTAGTCAGTAGTAGTAGTAGTCATCTGGTAGTAGTAGTAGTCTAGTAGTAGTAGTAGTAGTCTAGTAGTAGCTAGTAGTAGTAGTAGTCTAGTAGTAGTAGTAGTAGTAGTAGTAGTCTAGTAGTAGTAGTAGTAGTCTAGTAGCAGTAGTAGTAGTAGTCATCTGGGTTGGTGGTAGTGGTCATAGTAGTAGTAGTCTAGTAGTAGTAGTAGTAGTAGTCTAGTAGTAGTAGTAGTAGCAGCAGTAGTAGTAGTAGTCATCTGGGTTGGTGGTAGTGGTAGTAGTAGTAGTCTAGAAGTAGTTGTAGTAGTAGTAGTAGTCTAGTAGTAGTAGTAGTAGTAGTCATCTGGGTTGGTGGTAGTAGTAGTAGTAGTCTAGTAGTAGTAGCAGCAGTAGTAGTAGTCATCTGGGTTGGTAGTAGTAGTAGTCTAGTAGTAGTAGTAGTAGTTGTAGCAGTAGTAGTCTATTAGTAGTAGTAGTTGTAGCACTAGTAGTCTAGTAGTGGTAGTAGCAGCAGTAGTAGTAACCACAACAGTAATAATAATGTACAAATACATGTCACCTATTTTACACACAGTGCTTCAATAATATCCAGGTCAATGGGTCACTTTGTATTCAGTTCTCAACTCCTTGGGGAGCTGCCTCCAGTGAAACGCTAGAACGTTTACAGACAGTGTCACTGTCCTACTGGGTACCCATTCACTGCTTGGTGAAAAGAGGCATGTTTCAATATGAGAACACTGTGCTACATGTGCTTCAATGTTGAGTAAATGAAGGGTAGAAATGTGGTTATTTATTCAAGTTTATTTAGTGATTATTTTAAAGTTGTCACTGACTCTCTTTTTGCAGCTCCTACCATCAGCCTGAGTTCACTGTCCACTGATTCATCTGATTCAAGCCATGCTTCCACAGAGTGGCTGACTGATCAGAAGTTTGTCGATAAAGAGGGGCGCACATTCAAGCAAAGGGTAGGTTGGAAACTATAAACATTTAATTCAAATTCATTGCATTCATTCATTTCTATCTTCATTTTATAAGTATAAAAATATCTAAGAATTAGTGGTGGTCCGATTAATTAAAATAATCGAAGATTGGTCGCAGTGCCTAAACGACCAAGCAATCGATTGTGTTCTCTCATAATCGAACACAACCAATTTTGGAACACTTGTTTGCATCAACAATATTTTATACAAGGTTGGTTTTGTCTGTGTCATTAAATTTACAATTCATAAGCACAACAATCTCGTTCCAAGTCATGATTGAATTTATCTTAAAGAATCCAGGAAATCTGTGTTCCTAACATACTAATCACCCTTTATTTGCAAAATTTGCCAATGGATTTTGTGCTATTTGCAAAAGACCCAAATTACTACATGTTTTTTCTTTTTTTTGTGTGTATGCATTAACAAAGATAACAGGAACATTTGATAAATGACGCAAACCAATTATTTTAGATGATTGATCGGTTGTAATGAACCAATCATCAATTATGAGATTTTAACCAATTCCCAACACTACTAAGAATTAGTGACATTGTTCAGTTTAATGTGTTAATGTTGATTTTTTAAAAATTGATCATATTCAAATCAAAATTGATTAAGAATACATTTGCTGTATAGTGTGCTGTTTGTTTTCCTTTAAGGTTGATTTTCTGTTGACATCGAAGGAGAGATCTCACCTAAAGAGATCAATGCAGACCTATGAAGTGACGCGGTAAGTGACAAGCGTTTATGACAGGTGTGGTGTGAGGGATGGGTGTTTACTACAGGTGTGGTGTGAGTTACAGGTATTTACTGTTTGTGTGGATGACAAGCGTTTATGACAGGTGTGGTGTGAGGGATGGGTGTTTACTACAGGTGTGGTGTGAGTTACAGGTATTTACTGTTTGTGTGAGTGACAAGTGTTTATGGCAGGTGTGGTGTGAGGGATGGGTGTTTACCACAGGTGTGGTGTGAGTTACAGGTATTTACTGTTTGTGTAGGTGACAAGCGTTTATGACAGGTGTGGTGTGAGGGATGGGTGTTTACTACAGGTGTGGTGTGAGTTACAGGTATTTACTGTTTGTGTGAGTGACAAGTGTTTATGGCAGGTGTGGTGTGAGGGATGGGTGTTTACCACAGGTGTGGTGTGAGTTACAGCTATTTACTGTTTGTGTGGGTGGCAAGTATTTATGGCAGGTGTGGTGTGAGGGATGGGTGTTTACTACAGGTGTGGTGTGAGTTACAGGTATTTACTGTTTGTGTAGGTGGCAAGTGTTTATGGCAGGTGTGGTGTGAGGGATGGGTGTTTACCACAGGTGTGGTGTGAGTTACAGGTATTTACTGTTTGTGTGGGTGGCACGTGTTTATGGCAGGTGTGGTGTGAGGGATGGGTGTTTACCACAGGTGTAGTGTGAGTTACAGGTATTTACTGTTGGTGTGGGTCACAAGTGTTTACTACAGGTGTGGCATGAGGGATGGGTGTTTACTACAGGTGTGGTGTGAGTTACAGGTATTTACTGTTTGTGTAGGTGGCAAGTGTTTATGGCAGGTGTGGTGTGAGGGATGGGTGTTTACTACAGGTGTGGTGTGAGTTACAGGTATTTACTGTTTGTGTAGGTGGCAAGTGTTTATGGCAGGTGTGGTGTGAGGGATGGGTGTTTACCACAGGTGTGGTGTGAGGGATGGGTGTTTACCACAGGTGTGGGCGTAAGTGACAGGAGTTTCTTCCTCTGTGGGTGTGGGAGGCGAGAGTTTATTGCAGGTGTGGACGTGAGGGTCATGGGGATTAACTACAGGTGTGGGCATGTGTGATGGGGGTTTACTGTGGTTGTGAGTAAAAAGGATTCACTGCAGGTGTGCATGTGAGTGATGGAGATTAACTGCCTCTGAGCACAACACACTGATGTCAAAACTTACACAACCATGAAATACCCAAACCAAAGCCCAATAAAATTTACACATTTTGCTATATCTGTGAACACACATTTTCTGACTATACACTGGGTTATCCAATAGATCCCCATTTTGCCATACCATCTCCAGCCATACAGATGTAAATGTGATGATCCTGACTACCTTGTACATACATGCCCAGTTTTTATCATCAGCAAATATAGAAGATTTATAGTTTGGTATGAAAATGACATTCACTTATAATCCAGTTTATTATACTAATACTTGTATAGCGCCAATATCCAGCTCAGCTGCTCTAAGGCACTTTGTTTTTCCATCAATCATTGGATGTCAGTCTCAAACGGCACACCATATAATCAATCTCAACTCCCTGGGGATCATACAACATAACATAGAATCACACTTCTACATGATGATAACAATGTGTCAATATCGACACCCAGGAAATACAACACTCAATATTGACACCCAGGAAGTACAACACTCAACATTGACACCCAATATACAACACTCAATATTGACACCCAGGAAGTACAACACTCAATATTGACACCCAGGAAGTACAACACTCAATATTGACACCCAGGAAGTACAACACTCAATATTGACACCCAGGAAGTACAACACTCAATATTGACACCCAGGAAGTACAACACTCAATATTGACACCCAGGAAGTACAACACTCAATATTGACACCCAGGAAGTACAACACTCAATATTGACACCCAGGAAATACAACACTCAATATTGACACCCAAAGTACAACACAATATTGACACCCAAAATACAACACTCAATATTGACACCCAAGAAAGTACAACACTCAATATTGACACCCAGGAATACAACACTCAATATTGACACCCAGGAAGTACAACACTCAATATTGATATTGACACCAGAAATACAACACTCAATATTGAATATTGACACCCAAGAATACAACACTCAATATTGACACCCAAGAAATACAACACTCAATATTGACACCCAAGAAATACAACACTCAATATTGACACCCAAGAAATACAACACTCAATATTGACACCCAAGAAATACAACACTCAATATTGACACCCAGGAAATACAACACTCAATATTGACACCCAAGAAATACAACACTCAATATTGACACCCAGGAAATACAACACTCAATATACAACACTCAATATTGACACCCAAGAAATACAACACTCAATATTGACACCCAGGAAGTACAACACTCAATATTGACACCCAAGAAATACAACACTCAATATTGACACCCAAGAAATACAACACTCAATATTGACACCCAGGAAGTACAACACTCACACTTACCACATAGTAAGCTCCACACTTGTCACCAAGGCAACTAAAGCATTACAGTAGGCCTGAGTCAGTTGTTCCTCTGGGCTGAGTTCACCTTTCCCTCACACTGACTCCTACCAAGTGTTCCCATTGACTGTAGGTACCTCCCTCCAACACTGCCTCACACACATACACTGCTGGTGAACCTTCCTGACAGCCGGTAGTGTACGACTTGTTACGGTGTATCTCTCACATGCTTAACTGTTTCCACCTCTTCACTGCACCGTGGAGCTAAGCACATCTGCCTTGTTTTCAAATGTAGAGCTGGAGGGATGCAGATAAGTATTTGTGGTATATCGGCTGTGGTCAGGAGATTCCACTGCGATTTGGGGCAGTGGGTAGACTGCTGGATAAAGTGTTGGCTTGAAATAGTGGGTTCATTTCGTAGGGTGGTTACAATATATATAGTGTGTAAATAATGTTCCACTAACTCACTCAATCAGTCACCAACTCACTCTACACTCACTCACCCAACCAATCACTGTCTCACCCATTACAACAACCGACCAATCACTCTCACCCATTACAACAACCGACCAATCACTCACTCACCCATTACAACAACCGACCAATCACTCACTCACCCATTACAACAACCGACCAATCACTCACTCACCCATTACAACAACCGACCAATCACTCACTCACCCATTACAACAACCCACCAATCACTCACTCACCCATTACAACAACCGACCAATCACTCACTCACCCATTACAACAACCGACCAATCACTCACTCACCCATTACAACAACCGACCAATCACTCACTCACCCATTACAACAACCGACCAATCACTCACTCACCCATTACAACAACTGACCAATCACTCACTCACCCATTACAACAACCGACCAATCACTCATGTACTCACAGGGATTTATCTAGACAATCTCCGAGGCTCCAAGTCTGCAGCAACTGATATAAAAGTATCAAATTTAAATTACAAGTGCCCTAACTTCTAAAACTTTATGAAAAAATATGAAAATCTTGTTGTGAGCAAAAACACATTGTTTTTCCAAATTTGCAAGCCAAAGCCACTTAGTTAGAAAATCTAAATCCCTGTCTCACTCACTCATTCACTCACTCACTCAACCAACCAACCAATCATTGATCATCACTCAACCATTTGCTTGCTTACTCACATTCTCTAAACCAACCAACCAACCAACCAGTCAACCACCCACTCTATTAACCATTTAATCAATCATTTAATCAACCACTCACTCAAACACAAAGCCACTTACCCAGTCAACCATTCAAGGATTCAGTCAACCACTCTCCAACCCACTCACCAAACCTGCCCAATGTTTTTACATTATTGTCCTACTAGGCAACAAGTCAATTCTCTTCAAAATGTTATGTGTTTGAGAGTATTGATCAGTTTGTATCTACATATATTCAAACCAAAACCTTCATTCCCTAATGTGTCCATGCTAGAGATGAAACTGTATCATAAATAACAGATTACAATTAATAGTTTGTATTAAATAGCTTGATAAAGCTGTGGGTATTCTCTTTGCTCGAAGAATCATAATGGATCATTGTTTCACATCCTTGTGTCCTACCCAACCAATACACTGCTGGGGGATCTCCTTGTGTCCTACCCAACTAATACACACTGCTGGGGTAGTTCCTTGATTCCTACCCAACCAATACACACTGCTAGGGGGCTCCTTGTGTCCTACCCACCAATACACACTGATGGGGAGCTCCTTGTGTCCTACAGTACCCAATACCACACTGCTAGGGGCTCTCTTGTGTCCTACCCAAAACCAATACACAATGTGTCCATGCTAGAGATGAAACTCCTCATAAATAACAGATTACAATTAATAGTTTGTATTAAATAGCTTGATAAAGCTGTGGGTATTCTCTTTGCTCGAAGAATCATAATGGTTCATTGTTTCACATCTATCACTGTGTATTTTGATATAAGGGATCTGACAGTTACTAATTGTGTATCTTTATGTTTTCAAACTGAATGTTGTAGTGTCAAAATAATTAATAGTACTTATTCCTATTTTTCAAGTAAGAGATATATTTATGTTGGTAATTGTATGTTCTGCTCAAGGAAGCCTATTTATGTTTGATTGGAGATAGTGCCATGCTGCTGTATCATGTGTCTTGTATAATAAGGGTTCTTTGTCATTTATTGTATCTTTTATGTTGTGTTTACTCAGAGATGTGGTGGAGCTTGAAACAAGTCTGTCTGAAATTCTGGACACACCATCAAAGAGGACTTTGTGGATGTTTGTGATCGCCCGTCTGCCTCCTCAACATCAGGAGTTCTGTATTCACCGAATCAGTCTGCCTCAACACATCCTGCTGGGTGAGTTTACAATGCCCAACACATACCTGCGGCTGAGTTTGTATGCCAAGTTCAACCAATACCAACTGCTGGCTGAGTTTGTGTACCCTGCCATATAAGTCCTTCCTTTGTTTGAGATAGTGTACCCTGTCCAACCAATATGCACTGCTGGGGGGAGCTCCTTGTGTCCTACACAACGAATACACACTGCTGGGGGTGTCCTACCCAACCAATACACACTGCTGGGGAAACTCCTTGTGTCCTACCCAACCAATACACACTGCTGAGGAACTCCTTGTGTCCCATCCAACAAATACACACTCCTGAGGGGTGTCCTTGTCCTTACAACCAATACACTTGTGTCCTACCCAACCAATACACACTGCTGGGGAAACTCCTTGTGTCCTACCCAACCAATACACACTGCTGAGGAACTCCTTGTGTCCCATCCAACAAATACACACTCCTGAGGGGTGTCCTTTTGTGTCCTATACAACCAATACACCCTGCTGGGGGAACTCCTTGTGTCCTACCTAACCAATACACACTGCTGGGGGATCTCCTTGTGTCCTACCCAACCAATACACACTCCTGGGGGTTCTCTTTTGTGTCCTACCCAACCAATACACACTGCTGGGGGACTCCTTGTGTCCTACCCAACCAATACACACTGCTGGGGAAACTCCTTGTGTACGCCGATATTTCGACGACGACGACGATTGATGATCGATTTATCGAGACGCCGAGATTTATGACGACGCCGACGATTTTGATGACGACGACGATGATTTGATGACGATTTATGACGCCGATATCTGATGATCGATCGAACGAGATGCCGGAGATTTTGATGATCGACGAGATCTGATGATCGACGAAATTGATTCGATGACGACGCCGACGCCGATTGATGACGACGCCGAGACGCCGATGATTTCCGGATGACGACGCCGAGATGACTGATGACGACGCCGAGATCGATTTGATGACGACGAGCCGGATGATTCCGATGACGACGAGCCGATATCGATGATCGACGCCGATGACGCCGATGATTCGATGACGACGCCGAGACGCCGAGATCGATGACGACGCCGAGATGCCGATGATTTGATGATCGATTTGTTCGACGCCGATTTCGATGACGATTTATTGACGCCGAAAGATTTCGATGACGACGAACGATGACGCCGATTTACCTATGACGACCGATCGACGACGCCGATATCGATGACGACGCCGATGACGAGCCGACGCCGATTTGATGACGACGAGTCGATTTCGATTCGATGATCGACGCCGAGCCGATGACGATGATTTCGATCGACGATGATTCCGAGATTTACGACGACGCCGGATGATCGACGATTGATGATTTGACGCTAATTTGTCGACGCCGATATCGATGACGACGCCGAGACGCCGATATTTGATGACGACGATGCCGACGCCGATTTCGATATTTTGATGACGACGAGCCGACGCCGATATCGATGACGACGAGCCGATATTTGATGACGACGCCGATGACGCCGACGATGACGACCGACGAGACGACGATATTTCGATGACGACGATACGCCGATGACGACGAGCCGATGATTTGATGACGACGAGCGACGCCGATGATTTGATGACGACGATTGATGACGATGACGACACGACGATTACGCCGATTACGACGCCGATTTATGGATCGACGACGATAATTTACTGATGATTATCGACGCCGACGATATCGATATCGAGATACTCGATGATCGACGCCGACGATCGAGATCGATGACGACGATGACGACGATCGATGATGACGACGCCGAGACGATGACCTGACGACGCCGATCGATGAGCGACGATGACGATCGACGCCGATGATGGATCCGACGACGATTTGCCGACGCCGATATCGATGACGACGCCGACGATGATTGACGATGACCGACGATACGATTTCGATATCGATGACGATGATCGACGATGATGATTTACGATGACGACGCCGATGATTTTCGATGATCGACGATTGACGCCGATATCGATGAAAGACGATCGAGCTGATGACGCCGATGACGACGAGCCGATGATATCGATGACGACGACGAAAGACGCCGAGGACGATGATGACGACGCCGAGCCGAGCCCGATGACGATCTGCCGATTGATTTGATGACGATTTAATCGACGCCGATGATTCGGTCGATGACGACGCCGAGATTCGTCGACGATGATTTTATCTATGCATGACGCCGATGATTCGACGACGACGCCGAGATTGAGATTCGATGACGACGACGAGACGCCGAGATTCGATGACCTGTCGACTTCCGATGACGACGACGCCGACTTCCATGACGACAGCCCGATCGACGATTCGATGATTTAATCTGTCGACGCCGATGATCGATGACGACGCCTGTCGACGAGATTTGATGACTTCGATGCGCCGATGATCGATCGACGAGCCTTCCACATCGATTCGACGATTCGACGCCGAGATTCCGATGACGCCGAGATGCCGATTTCGACCCTTTAATTTGTCCACGCCGATATCGATGGTTCACGCCGACGCCGAGATTCCGATGCTCCCGTTTCATTCCGCCGATATCTGATGACGACGCCGACGGATGATTTATCGACGCCGGACGTATCTCGATGACTTTAATCGAGTCGACGCCGATTTATTTTGCCGAGATTGATGACGACGCCGACGCCGATACCGATGCTTCCATACTCCCATTTCATTCACCCTTCCACATCTTCCATACTCCCATTTCATTCACCCGTTCCACATCTTCCATACTCCCATTTCATTCACCCTTCCACATCTTCCATACTCCCATTTCATTCACCCTTCCACATCTTCCATACTCCCATTTCATTCATTTCATTCACCCTTCCACATCTTCCATACTCCCATTTCATTCACCCTTCTTCCATACTCCCATTTCATTTACCCTTCCACATCTTCCATACTCCCATTTCATTCACCCTTCCACATCTTCCATACTCCCATTTCCACTTCTTCCCATCTTCCATACTCTTTCATTCTTCATACTCCACATCTTCCATACTCCCATTTCATTCACACCTTCCACATCTTCCATACTCCCATTTCATTCATTCACATCCCATCCACATCTTCCATACTCCCATTTCATTCACCCTTTCCATCTTCCATACTCCCATTTCATTCACCCCTTCCATCTTCCATACTCCCATTTCATTCACCCTTCCACATCTTCCATACTCCCATTTCATTCACCCTTCCACATCTTCCATACTCCCATTTCATTTACCCTTCCACATCTTCCATACTCCCATTTCATTCACCCTTCCACATCTTCCATTCCCCATTCCACATCTTCCATACTCCCATTTCATTCACCCTTCCACATCTTCCATACTCCCATTTCATTCACCCTTCCACATCTTCCATAATCCCATTTCATTCACCCTTCACATCTTCCATACTCCCATGTCAGTCATCCTTCCACATCTTCCATACTCCCATCCTCTGCACCATCCATGCCAGCATCCACAATTTCAATATATTAACAAAAGGTATTCTTTACACACATGCTAGTTAACCCAAGATATTCACAAAACATTGGAGAAGCCATAATTTTCTGTGCTCCACCTGTCAACTGCCAGACTGAGTGAGCTAGCCCAGTCACAGCCTCTGTGTTCATGGAAGTGTTAAGTGGTTCAGACAAACCAGCAGCAAGAGAATTAGCAAATGTGTGGAATGAAGGCAGTTGAGTTGTGGAGCCCCCCTGAGTAATCCACCACGTCTCTGCCATATTCTCCAACAATTAGGGAACAACTTTGGAGGCAGCCCATGGGTCAGGTGGAGTAACTTAGTCAGCATCAGCGAGCAAGCATGTCTTCATAATTACATCCCACTTCCACATCCAAAAACACAAACATTTCATGACTTCCATTCCAAACATTTTTTCAAGAGTGTCTGACTGTCAGAAGTTTTTCAATTACAAAAATTACCATTGCATGAAGTCAACATGTTGGAACTTTTATTTTTCAGAGGTTTTGCGAACACAGCAGAAAATAAACGGCCATGGGCAAATGACAGCAAGTAAGGAGAAAACTTATTTACTCATTTTTTTATGAGAAACAATTTGCTAGCTTCATAAAAAGAGAAATGGAACTAAAAAATCGATTTGTTTCCCTCTCAGTCAAGTGATAGGAATCAGCTGCCAAAAGGGATGAGTCAACATCCCCAAGAGGGGAATGTTTGATATATACTGTATTTAACCTTGTAAGTCTGGGGACCCTGCTTTCCACACAACTGTTTTGCATATATTGTTATAGTGACATAATTTGACTTGGGAGTGTGATCTTTGGCCCATGGGAAATGTAAAATGTTTGAGTTTGAAACAGTGGTATGAACATTCTCAGATATGTTCAAATGATCTGGGTGCCGTTATACAAAGCGATCTTAGCACTAAGGTGATGGTGACTTCCACACCTTAACATAGACTTAAGGTAGTCTTAGTGCTAAGGTTGTTTTGTACAACGGCACCCTGTTATGTACTTTTATGTTTTTACACTTCCAAGTTTTGGACTTACACATGATCCAATACATAAATGCCTAAAATGAGCATTAAAAAGTGAGTTTTTCAACTTTAGAGAAAATCTAATGGAGAAGAAGTCTGTGACCCGAGTTTATTAGAAATATCACCATACTAATATATAAAAACAGCAGTTGTGTGGAAGGCAGGGTCCCAGAAAAAGACTTGTACTGTACATCAAACATTCCTCTCCTTGGACTGCTGAGTCATCCATTTTTGCAACTGACTTCTATTTACGTAGAGGGAGACAAAATGATTTTAAGGTCAAACACTTGTACATGTTCAAATATTAATCCTTCTTGGCAATTTCTTGTCCATGTCTTTTTTCATTATTTGTTGTTGTAAGTCCATAAAATGCAATTACAGAAATTAACAAAGTGTAATTCTGAAAGATTGTTGATTTCTAAAGGTAGAGCTCTTTTCATCAGTTATTCAGATCCAGTGACCAAAACATACCTTATTATATCAGTGCCAATGATTGCAGCGTAAACAACAGGGTTTCACAATAAATTCTGATGAGGAATTGTGTTAATTTTAGTTCATATAGTGTTAATTTGACTGAGACGATAATAATGACCAGTTTGTGAAATTGGATTGGCGAAATTTCAAAAATATTTCATCATGTCAGCTTGATGCAGGAGGAAATCCCAAACTGCGGCGGGTCTTAGATAGTTACCGCCGTGGTGAAACCACAAGTGTGGTGCTGACAAGCCTAGAAACATTACAATGTAGAATCTGGGATTCAAACCACTTGACATTAAGAAAGTATGTAAACAATGCCATTCTGGTGTAAGTACAGAAGTGCAAGACTCTTCATGTAAATGGTATCTTGTACTTGTTATCCCACAATGCAATGTTTTGTCAGATGGTCTCCAGCAGGCTGGGTGGGAGACCCACATCGGGACGTCTGCCCGTCTGCCCGCTTCCTTCCAGCAGCAGATCGAGTTCCTGCTCACATCACAGGAGCGGATACAGATCAAGCGCTCCCTCCATATGTATGAAGACAACAGGTGGGAAATCACAGATTAATTACATCCACAAGTATTCTTGATTAAATCAATAAATTTTTTCATCTTGGCAGAAGGATTTTAGGTTTGGTTCCTTCTTGTTTTAGTTTGATCTCTGAAAAAAAGTTTGGTCCGTCAACTCAAATAGGAAAACACATTTACAGAAAGGATGGTTGCTTGGTGTTAGATTTTTAGAGCAATTTGAACAGTATAAAAGGTTTATTTGTTCCCAGTCTTCTGGAGTTGGACAAGTTAAAGAGTTACTTCCTTTATCTACTAACCATATTTTCGTCACGCCGAAGACCCGGGTTTGAATCCCCACATGGGTACAATGTGTGAAGCCCATTTCTGGTGTCCCCCGCCGTGATGTTGCTGGAATATTGCTAAAAGCGGCGTAAAACCAAAACTCAGTCAGTCAGTCAGTACTAACCATATTTGAAGTATTACTGAAATATGTTGCTGCATGCAGTATTAAATGTCAAAGAAAGAAAAGAAAGAAAGTTGACACATGGACAAATTATGCTCAAAAGTTTAGTGAATATTATTGATGATTTCAGATTTGTTGTAGGAATATCCTAACAACCATATAAAATGACTGACTGACTGACTGAGTTTAGTTTTACGCCGCTTTTAGCAATATTCCAGCAATATCACGGCAGGGGACACCAGAAATGGGCTTCACACATTGTGCCCATGCATATAAAATGAAAAATGTTGCCTTTGATAGAATAATAATGAATGCCAGTTTTACAGTATAGACATTTTGTAAGTTTGGGTAGAGGTACCTTCAAAAACAAATTGCAATCCCAGTGTAAATGAGATGCACAATTAAGATAAACAAACTTACGAACTCTTGAATAAGTATCTCACATTCTTGTCTTTCTCTGTGTGAATAATTCTGTCTTCAAAGAACTGGTTTCAATATTCCACATGGGTAATAACACTCATTAGCATGGAACAACATGTTGGCAACATGTATATCTTCAGCATCATATCTATCTCATTAAATGTTCCGGGCAAACTGAAGGCAATTATCTGCCAAAACTGGAAACATAAAGCTAGACACAGACTTTTCTTCGTCAGCGCCATATTGAATTAGAGTTGCTTTCAAGTTTCTTTTTCAATTTCTGTATCAGTTTGATTACCAGTTTCTTTCTTTTTGGTTCGACCATACAATTATGTAAGCACACTGAGCATACAACTGGTGTATTGAAGTAGTGCAGTATAAGTAGACACATTATTATAGTAGTATTATTCAGCAACCCATGCTGGTCAAAGGTGAGGTGAGGTGAAACTGGGTTTTACGTCGTGCTTGAGAATATTTCGCTCATATGACGACGTGCATGCATGTGTATGTGTGGCTGCTTGTACTAGCCCAGACTTAAGCTGGTTTTATAGTGCTAGCCCACTGAGATACCATGCCGCAGTGAAGCATGAATACCCCACTCAGACACATTATTCTGACTCAAAGCCAACCAGTCCTTGTTGTACCCATTAATGCTGAGCGCCAGGCAGGGACCAACAAGTACCATATTTTAACGTCTTTTGGTGTGACGCGGTCGGGGATCGAACCTGCCTCCTTCCGCTCTCCGGGCGGACGTCCCAACCACTACACCACGGAGGCGGTCCATGCTGGTCAAAAGACTGAGAGGCAACTAATGGGATTGGGTGGTCAGGCTCACTGACTAGTGGATGAATATCATTGATTCCCAACTGTGTAGATCAATGTTCATGATGTCAATCACTGGGTTGTCTGGTCCCGACTCAGTTGTTTACAGCCCACTGTCATATAGCTGGAGCACTGCTAAGTTTGGCATTAAACAACAAGAAACAAACAAATCTTTTGTTTCACAGAAGATTGAATATTCTTGCTTGGTTTCTGAATCTTAAACTGAAATCTTAAAATTAAAGATAAATAAATAATATCAGTTACAGATACTATAAGTATTGATGAAGTTTTATACTGCCAAGAATAAAACATTTTGATAACAAAGGTCATTGAAACTATTTGGCATAAACTGAAATAAGATACAAGTGCATTTTTTAATGCTTAAAAACAATACAGAAACACCAGTCTCAATGTCCTATTATTATTTTACAGAAAGCGTTTTTGGGGGTTTTCTTCTTTTTTTCATTATTCCACGTACTGATCTGATGAAATCTCAAACCACTAAAACACCCTTTAAAGGCATTTAAATGAGTATTTTTAATCATTGCAACTTACTGACCAAATGTTTCACCAATAAAAGTTGCATCCATGGTCTGACCTTTGCCATTAATAACTCCTATATGTAGTGACACCTGTATAGAGTGTTAGCCCACATCCCTCTGTGATCAATAGCTATATCTCCCACATGTTGACAGCACCGACAGGTCTGCTAGCACTGTGTTGCAACACAACTCCCAGTGTTGGGCGAGATTGTTTACAGTGCAGTAACTTCTATTGTGTGTTCTGTCTCTGTGGAGATGGTATTCCTGGACCAACATGGCTGACGATATTCCCACATGTTGGTCTGTTTGTATGACCTTACTCTGGTCATCATTTCTCAGGGAAGACATTCATCATAACTTAGTCAAAACCTTGCATCTCTAAGGAGCCATGAAAGAAGAAATCTGACCTTTCTTGGCTCGGATGTAGAGCAAATTGGTTTCAAAACAAGACAGTGGTTCAAGTTTGGTTTGGGTGATGTCCTGAATGATTGGTGTATACATCCTACAGGTTTTATTTGGGGGTTGTTGTTGGGTTTTTTTCTTTATTTTTTATTTTAATTAGTTTTTTATAAACACATCACTCACCAAGGTCGGTTAATAAAACACTTCATTAAGGCATTTCATGATCAAGTGGGTGTGATTATAGTTATTACCATGCAGGGCTCGATTTAGTGCTTTGTTACTTGCACTGGTGCAATCCAATATTACAAAGTGCAACCTAGATATGAGTCTAACTTGCACCAGGTGCAAGTCAGTTTTTGAGTGGGTAAGCTTCTAAATAAAACATCTAAATAATTCAATAGCATATAAAGCAGTGCAGCTGGAATTTGGTTTGTGCAACTAGGTTTTTATCTTAGGTTGCACCTGGTGCAAGTAGATTAACATCTCTTAAATCGTGCCCTGTCATGAGATACAGCTGTTGTTCCCCAAAACTGTACACTCCACATTTGTGGCAGATCTGGGGTGGATGGGAGATCATTGACTCAATAACAAATTACCCCCAGTGACTGAAAGATCAAGGATTTCAATTTGAAGGAAATGTTTTATATAATCAATTAAAGCCGACTGAAATGAAAAGTTATCCTCACCTTTAGGCCAAAAGGTAGTAGAAATTCCTGTGGCAAAGAATATTATAATTCTCCTTGCCTGAAGGTCCTGTAATTTGGATACATTTCAGGAGTTTCAGTTGCACCCAGTAAGACCAGTAAGACCTCTGAGCAGTTCCAAATGAGCTTGTAATCAGATTCTAATACACGGAATATGTTACCATTGCCCCATGACAGTTGACTTACATTGATACAGATATTGATCAAAAGTTTTTGAGCAGAATTATTTTTAAAACATGTCTATGAATACTGAATGGAAAAGATGCAATGGAGTAAAAATACATTGAATGCCCAAGGAAAACAAGCAACACGCAATTTGTATGATAATGTATGATTAAATACTCAGTGGTACAAAAGTCCCGAGCCCTGTTTGACAATGTACCCTTGTTCTGTAGAGATGTGAAGGCTCTGCTGAATGAGCTGGAGGAGATGCTGGACACGCCATCCAAAAAGACATTGTGGAAGTTTATCCTGCCGTTGCTGACAACGTCGCACCAAGATATTGTCAAACGCAGACTTGACTTCCGACAGCAGTACATAAGTAAGTTCCAACATTTCTATTGCCGGAGTTTAAGATTTAATTTCCAATGGTGTTGATGTCAGGGAATGAGTCTCTACTGAAACATTGTAACGTTTTCCTTGATTGCAGAAATTATCAGTGTTATGTTGAAAAGAATGCAAAGAAAACTTTTATGGCTTAGAATAGAGGATATATATATGTTGAATAGCCTGTATCCATAAATGATGTTATAATGAATATTTTGAAAAAATATTTCTCTGTAAAAATCTCCATGATATGTCGTAATGTGTCAGGATAGGAAATTTTATAATCTTAGGCAATTTATGACTGAACTGAGGCCATGTTGAGTTATTCATTAGATTTTCACCCATACGCCTTCATTCTTGTCTTGATTGATTGTAATAATAACAAGGAGATTTTATCATGAATGGTACATTCTGATTGAGATGATTCTCTTGGTTTGGCTCAGTCGTGAGTCAAAGATTTTTTACTTGTAAATGGGTGAAATCTAATAATGTCTTCAGCAAGGACCTCTCGTCTGTCTAGAAATAAATTATCAAAATAAGCTCCAAAGAATAAATCCTGAGAGAAATAAATGAATTGCAACCTGGTAATCTACTAGACATGATATGGTTGGTGATGTTATGTGGAAGTGTGTCAGCAGATGTATCATGGATCTGTCACTCAAACTGGTTTGTTTCCTAACCCTTCTGAATCCATGGATTTTTGATAGATTGTGTCAATCATATTTGTTTTGTGACCCCACTCACTCAATCAGCCAGTCAGAATTCTGACTTTATGATGGATTGTTTCATTCAAACTGGTTTGTTTCCTAACCCTTCTGAATCCATGGATTTTTGATAGATTGTGTCAATCATATTTGTTTTGTGACCCCACTCAATCAACCAGTCAGAATTCTGACTTTGTGATGGATTGTTTCATTCAAACTGGTTTGTTTAGTAACCATTTTCAATCAGCCAGTCAGTCTAACTTAGTAATGGATTGTGTCAATCAGATTGGTTTGTTTTCTGACCCTCCTCAATCAGCCAGTCAGATTTCTGACTCAGCAATGGATTCCTACATTGGTCCACCTGACGATGACCTTCATGATGACCTTGCAGTTCAGGAGGAGATTGAGATCGGTAGATAGGTGTTGTTTCTGCAGTCTCTCACGTTGTTGTTTCTGCAGTCTTTCACGTTGTTGTGGTTAAGTGCACAACATATTTTGTTTGCTGAATTTCTTGTCTTCACAGCATGTATCTGTGTGTTGCACTGGATTTGATTATGAGTGTGTGTTCCTTTGTCATTTGTTCTGTATGTACTGGAACTAATTACTCCATCATCACCGCACAAATATTTCAGATATCATCAATTAAGATTTATGTTGCAGAGTTGTAATACCAATATCAATAGTATTTCATTCATGCCAAACCTCATTGATACTGCTTGCATATAATTTTGATGACAATCAAAGAAAACACTTATGAAAAGAAGTGTCAAGGCACATGGGTCAACTGAACATTGTACATCTAGTTTAAGCTACTTTTAGCAATATTCCAGCAATATCATGGTAGGGAACACCAGGAATGGGCTTCACATGTTGTTCCTATGTGGGGAATCGAACTCGGGTCTTTGGCATGACGCACAAATGCTTTATCCACTAGGCTACCCCACCGTTCCCCTCCCCAGTTAATGGACAGAGCACATCTGTCATCATCATCATCATCAGAAGTAGAAACTGCTACAAGCACCTGCAGAAAATGGTAGTGCTTAAACCAGAATCCTGACAAAAGAGCAGACCATGCAGCTCTGTTCCTGACATGGAAGCAACAGGTGTCCTGATATGGTAGAAAAGGGTCTCTGGATGTGGTAGAAACAGGTCAAGCCTTTACTTGTGTCATTATTCACACATTGCAGCAATACTCATGAGAACAGAGTAAAACCTCATTCACTCCTGAGGTCACCAAGTTGATTGTTTTCTGAAATAAACAGGCAGGCTGTAAGCTGGGATACGGTATTGCCAGCATTACATTCACATGACACTCCAAGCAAGCAAGTTTCTCATTGTCCTCCATTGTTTCCTAGACCTTGTGATTCCTCAAGATGTTCCACCACTTAGTGTAGTGTTCTGTGTCAAAGACCATCTAGTTCCTCAAGAAGTTCCACCACTTAGTGTAGCGTTCTGTCTCATCAACCCTCTAGTTCCTCAAGAAGTTCCACCACTTAGTGTAGTGTTCTGTCTCATCAACCCTCTAGTTCCTCAAGATGTTCCACCACTTAGTGTAGTGTTCTGTCTCATCAACCCTCTAGTTCCTCAAAAAGTTCCACCACTTAGTGTAGTGTTCTGTCTCATCAACCCTCTAGTTCCTCAAGAAGTTCCACCACTTAGTGTAGTGTTCTGTCTCATCAACCCTCTAGTTCCTCAAGTGTAGTTCCACCACTTAGTGTAGTGTTCTGTCTCATCAACCCTCTAGTTCCTCAAGAAGTTCCACCACTTAGTGTAGTGTTCTGTCTCATCAACCCTCTAGTTCCTCAAGAAGTTCCACCACTTAGTGTAGTGTTCTGTCTCATCAACCCTCTAGTTCCTCAAGAAGTTCCACCACTTAGTGTAGTGTTCTGTCTCATCAACCCTCTAGTTCCTCAAGAAGTTCCACCACTTAGTGTAGTGTTCTGTCTCATCAACCCTCTAGTTCCTCAAGAAGTTCCACCACTTAGTGTAGTGTTCTGTCTCATCAACCCTCTAGTTCCTCAAGAAGTTCCACCACTTAGTGTAGTGTTCTGTCTCATCAACCCTCTAGTTCCTCAAGAAGTTCCACCACTTAGTGTAGTGTTCTGTCTCATCAACCCTCTAGTTCCTCAAGAAGTTCCACCACTTAGTGTAGTGTTCTGTCTCATCAACCCTCTAGTTCCTCAAGAAGTTCCACCACTTAGTGTAGTGTTCTGTCTCATCAACCCTCTAGTTCCTCAAAAGTTCCACCACTTAGTGTAGTGTTCTGTCTCATCAACCCTCTAGTTCCTCAAGAAGTTCCACCACTTAGTGTAGTGTTCTGTCTCATCAACCCTCTAGTTCCTCAAGATGTTCCACCACTTAGTGTAGTGTTCTGTCTCATCAACCCTCTAGTTCCTCAAGAAGTTCCACCACTTAGTGTAGTGTTCTGTCTCATCAACCCTCTAGTTCCTCAAAAAGTTCCACCACTTAGTGTAGTGTTCTGTCTCATCAACCCTCTAGTTCCTCAAGAAGTTCCACCACTTAGTGTAGTGTTCTGTCTCATCAACCCTCTAGTTCCTCAAAAAGTTCCACCACTTAGTGTAGTGTTCTGTCTCATCAACCCTCTAGTTCCTCAAGAAGTTCCACCACTTAGTGTAGTGTTCTGTCTCATCAACCCTCTAGTTCCTCAAGAAGTTCCACCACTTAGTGTAGTGTTCTGTCTCATCAACCCTCTAGTTCCTCAAGAAGTTCCACCACTTAGTGTAGTGTTCTGTCTCATCAACCCTCTAGTTCCTCAAGAAGTTCCACCACTTAGTGTAGTGTTCTGTCTCATCAACCCTCTAGTTCCTCAAGAAGTTCCACCACTTAGTGTAGTGTTCTGTCTCATCAACCCTCTAGTTCCTCAAGATGTTCCACCACTTAGTGTAGTGTTCTGTCTCATCAACCCTCTAGTTCCTCAAGAAGTTCCACCACTTAGTGTAGTGTTCTGTCTCATCAACCCTCTAGTTCCTAAAGAAGTTCCACCACTTAGTGTAGTGTTCTGTCTCATCAACCCTCTAGTTCCTCAAGATGTTCCACCACTTAGTGTAGTGTTCTGTCTCATCAACCCTCTATTTCCTCAAGAAGTTCCACCACTTAGTGTAGTGTTCTGTCTCATCAACCCTCTAGTTCCTCAAGAAGTTCCACCACTTAGTGTAGGGTTCTGTCTCATCAACCCTTTAGTTCCTCAAGAAGTTCCACCACTTAGTGGGGCGGTGGGGTAGCCTAATGGTTAAAGCGTTGGCTCGTCACGCCGAAGACCCGGGTTCGAATCCCCACATGGGCACAATGTGTGAAGCCCATTTTCTGGTGTCCCCCGTCGTGATGTTGCTGGAATATTGCTAAAAGCGGCGTAAAACCAAACTCAGTCAGTCAGTCCACCACTTAGTGTAGTGTTCTGTCTCATCAACCCTCTAGTTCCTCAAGAAGTTCCACCACTTAGTGTAGTGTTCTGTCTCATCAACCCTCTAGTTCCTCAAGAAGTTCCACCACTTAGTGTAGTGTTCTGTCTCATCAACCCTCTAGTTCCTCAAGAAGTTCCACCACTTTAGTGTAGTGTTCTGTCTCATCAACCCTCTAGTTCCTCAAGAAGTTCCACCACTTAGTGTAGTGTTCTGTCTCATCAACCCTCTAGTTCCTCAAGATGTTCCACCACTTAGTGTAGCTGTTCTGTCTCATCAACCCTCTAGTTCCTCAAGAAGTTCCACCACTTAGTGTAGTGTTCTGTCTCATCAACCCTCTAGTTCCTCAAGAAGTTCCACCACTTAGTGTAGTGTTCTGTCTCATCAACACTCTAGTTCCTCAAGATGTTCCACCACTTAGTGTAGTGTTCTGTCTCATCAACCCTCTATTTCCTCAAGAAGTTCCACCACTTAGTGTAGTGTTCTGTCTCATCAACCCTCTAGTTCCTCAAGAAGTTCCACCACTTAGTGTAGGGTTCTGTCTCATCAACCCTTTAGTTCCTCAAGAAGTTCCACCACTTAGTGGGCGGTGGGGTAGCCTAATGGTTAAAGCGTTAGCTCGTCACCGGCTAGACCGGGTTCGAATCCCCACATGGGCACAATGTGTGAAGCCCATTTTCTGGTGTCCCCGTCATGATGTTGCTGGAATATTGCAAAGCGGCGTGAAACCAAACTCAGTCAGTCAGTCCACCACTTAGTGTAGTGTTCTGTCTCATCAACCCTCTAGTTCCTCAAGAAGTTCCACCACTTAGTGTAGTGTTCTGTCTCATCAACCCTCTAGTTCCTCAAGAAGTTCCACCACTTAGTGTAGGGTTCTGTCTCATCAACCCTTTAGTTCCTCAAGAAGTTCCACCACTTAGTGGGGCGGTGGGGTAGCCTAATGGTTAAAGCGTTGGCTCGTCACGCCGAAGACCCGGGTGCGAATCCCCACATGGGCACAATGTGTGAAGCCCATTTTCTGGTGTCCCCCGTCGTGATGTTGCTGGAATATTGCTAAAAGCGGCGTAAAACCAAACTCAGTCAGTCAGTCCACCACTTAGTGTAGTGTTCTGTCTCATCAACCCTCTAGTTCCTCAAGAAGTTCCACCACTTAGTGTAGTGTTCTGTCTCATCAACCCTCTAGTTCCTCAAGAAGTTCCACCACTTAGTGTAGTGTTCTGTCTCATCAACCCTCTAGTTCCTCAAGAAGTTCCACCACTTAGTGTAGTGTTCTGTCTCATCAACCCTCTAGTTCCTCAAGAAGCTCCACCACTTAGTGTAGTGTTCTGTCTCATAAACCCTCTAGTTCCTCAAGAAGTTCCACCACTTAGTGTAGTGTTCTGTCTCATCAACCCTCTAGTTCCTCAAGAAGTTCCACCACTTAGTGTAGTGTTCTGTCTCATCAACCCTCTAGTTCCTCAAGAAGTTCCACCACTTAGTGTAGTGTTCTGTCTCATCAACCCTCTAGTTCCTCAAGAAGTTCCACCACTTAGTGTAGTGTTCTGTCTCATCAACCCTCTAGTTCCTCAAAAGTTCCACCACTTAGTGTAGTGTTCTGTCTCATCAACCCTCTAGTTCCTCAAGAAGTTCCACCACTTAGTGTAGTGTTCTGTCTCATCAACCCTCTAGTTCCTCAAGAAGTTCCACCACTTAGTGTAGTGTTCTGTCTCATCAACCCTCTAGTTCCTCAAGAAGTTCCACCACTTAGTGTAGTGTTCTGTCTCATCAACCCTCTAGTTCCTCAAGATGTTCCACCACTTAGTGTAGCTGCTCTGTCTCATCAACAACCCTAGTTCCTCAAGAAGTTCCACCACTTAGTGTAGCGCTCTGTCTCATCAACCCTCTAGTTCCTCAAGATGTTCCACCACTTAGTGTAGTGTTCTGTCTCATCAACCCTCTAGTTCCTCAAGAAGTTCCACCACTTAGTGTAGGGTTCTGTCTCATCAACCCTTTAGTTCCTCAAGAAGTTCCACCACTTAGTGGGGCTGGGGTAGCCTAATGGTTAAAGCGCTGGCTCACCACCAAGACCCGGTTCAATCCCCACATGGGCACAATGTGTGAAGCCCATTTTCTGGTGTCCCCGTCAGTGATGTTGCTGGAATATTGCTAAAAGCTGCATGAAAACCAAACTCAGTCAGTCAGTCCACCACTTAGTGTAGTGTTCTGTCTCATCAACCCTCTAGTTCCTCAAGAAGTTCCACCACTTAGTGTAGTGTTCTGTCTCATCAACCCTCTAGTTCCTCAAGAAGTTCCACCACTTAGTGTAGTGTTCTGTCTCATCAACCCTCTAGTTCCTCAAGAAGTTCCACCACTTAGTGGGCGGTGGGGTAGCCTAATGGTTAAAAGCGCTGGCTCGCCACGAAGACCCGGGTTCAATCCCCACATGGGCACAATGTGTGAAGCCCATTTTCTGGTGTCCCCTCGTCGTGGATGTTGCTGGAATATTGCTAAAAGCTAGCGTGAAAACCAAACTCAGTCAGTCAGTCCACCACTTAGTGTAGTGTTCTGTCTCATCAACCCTCTAGTTCCTCAAGAAGTTCCACCACTTAGTGTAGTGTTCTGTCTCATCAACCCTCTAGTTCCTCAAGAAGTTCCACCACTTAGTGTAGTGTTGTCTCATCAACCCTCTAGTTCCTCAAGAAGTTCCACCACTTAGTGTAGTGTTCTGTCTCATCAACCCTCTAGTTCCTCAAGAAGTTCCACCACTTAGTGTAGTGTTCTGTCTCATCAACCCTCTAGTTCCTCAAGAAGTTCCACCACTTAGTGTAGTGTTCTGTCTCATCAACCCTCTAGTTCCTCAAGAAGTTCCACCACTTAGTGTAGTGTTCTGTCTCATCAACCCTCTAGTTCCTCAAGATGTTCCACCACTTAGTGTAGTGTTCTGTCTCATCAACCCTCTAATTCCTCAAGAAGTTCCACCACTTAGTGTAGTGTTCTGTCTCATCAACCCTCTAGTTCCTCAAAAAGTTCCACCACTTAGTGTAGTGTTCTGTCTCATCAACCCTCTAGTTCCTCAAGAAGTTCCACCACTTAGTGTAGTGTTCTGTCTCATCAACCCTCTAGTTCCTCAAGATGTTCCACCACTTAGTGTAGCTGTTCTGTCTCATCAACCCTCTAGTTCCTCAAGAAGTTCCACCACTTAGTGTAGTGTTCTGTCTCATCAACCCTCTAGTTCCTCAAGAAGTTCCACCACTTAGTGTAGTGTTCTGTCTCATCAACCCTCTAGTTCCTCAAGAAGTTCCACCACTTAGTGTAGTGTTCTGTCTCATCAACCCTCTAGTTCCTCAAGAAGTTCCACCACTTAGTGTAGTGTTCTGTCTCATCAACCCTCTAGTTCCTCAAGAAGTTCCACCACTTAGTGTAGTGTTCTGTCTCATCAACCCTCTAGTTCCTCAAAAGTTCCACCACTTAGTGTAGTGTTCTGTCTCATCAACCCTCTAGTTCCTCAAGAAGTTCCACCACTTAGTGTAGTGTTCTGTCTCATCAACCCTCTAGTTCCTCAAGAAGTTCCACCACTTAGTGTAGTGTTCTGTCTCATCAACCCTCTAGTTCCTCAAGAAGTTCCACCACTTAGTGTAGTGTTCTGTCTCATCAACCCTCTAGTTCCTCAAGATGTTCCACCACTTAGTGTAGTGTTCTGTCTCATCAACCCTCTAGTTCCTCAAGAAGTTCCACCACTTAGTGTAGTGTTCTGTCTCATCAACCCTCTAGTTCCTCAAGAAGTTCCACCACTTAGTGTAGTGTTCTGTCTCATCAACCCTCTAGTTCCTCAAGATGTTCCACCACTTAGTGTAGTGTTCTGTCTCATCAACCCTCTATTTCCTCAAGAAGTTCCACCACTTAGTGTAGTGTTCTGTCTCATCAACCCTCTAGTTCCTCAAGAAGTTCCACCACTTAGTGTAGGGTTCTGTCTCATCAACCCTTTAGTTCCTCAAGAAGTTCCACCACTTAGTGGGCGGCGGGGTAGCCTAATGGTTAAAGCGTGGCTCACACCAAGACCCGGTTCAATCCCCACATGGGCACAATGTGTGAAGCCCATTTTCTGGTGTCCCCCGTCGTGATGTTGCTGGAATATTGCTAAAAGCGGCGTAAAACCAAACTCAGTCAGTCAGTCCACCACTTAGTGTAGTGTTCTGTCTCATCAACCCTCTAGTTCCTCAAGAAGTTCCACCACTTAGTGTAGTGTTCTGTCTCATCAACCCTCTAGTTCCTCAAGAAGTTCCACCACTTAGTGTAGGGTTCTGTCTCATCAACCCTTTAGTTCCTCAAGAAGTTCCACCACTTAGTGGGGCGGTGGGGTAGCCTAATGGTTAAAGCGTTGGCTCGTCACGCCGAAGACCCGGGTTCGAATCCCCACATGGGCACAATGTGTGAAGCCCATTTTCTGGTGTCCCCCGTCGTGATGTTGCTGGAATATTGCTAAAAGCGGCGTAAAACCAAACTCAGTCAGTCAGTCCACCACTTAGTGTAGTGTTCTGTCTCATCAACCCTCTAGTTCCTCAAGAAGTTCCACCACTTAGTGTAGTGTTCTGTCTCATCAACCCTCTAGTTCCTCAAGAAGTTCCACCACTTAGTGTAGTGTTCTGTCTCATCAACCCTCTAGTTCCTCAAGAAGTTCCACCACTTAGTGTAGTGTTCTGTCTCATCAACCCTCTAGTTCCTCAAGAAGCTCCACCACTTAGTGTAGTGTTCTGTCTCATAAACCCTCTAGTTCCCAAGAAGTTCCACCACTTAGTGTAGTGTTCTGTCTCATCAACCCTCTAGTTCCTCAAGAAGTTCCACCACTTAGTGTAGTGTTCTGTCTCATCAACCCTCTAGTTCCTCAAGAAGTTCCACCACTTAGTGTAGTGTTCTGTCTCATCAACCCTCTAGTTCCTCAAGAAGTTCCACCACTTAGTGTAGTGTTCTGTCTCATCAACCCTCTAGTTCCTCAAGAAGTTCCACCACTTAGTGTAGTGTTCCGTCTCATCAACCCTCTAATTCCTCAAGAAATTCCACCACTTAGTGTAGTGTGCTTATTCTTGTTCCAGGGTCTGGGAAAGTCCATCATCGTCAGGAGGAATTGGTAAGACATATATCATTCAGTTCTTCCAAAAATCAGGACTACAAGTATGATATTCAAACTTTCAATTCCAAATTCATCGTTGAAAGAGTGACCTTAACGCAGCATCAGCAGAAGTGCAGCTATTCGCAGCGAAAACCCTCTGCTCCAGGGTTATATTACCTATATCTCATAGATGAAGTATAACAGTTATAGGCTTACTGAAACACAAACTGAAGTAAATCACCATTCCGCATTTTCATGGTCATTCAGTCATTGTCTGATGATGAGGAACAGACCAGTTCAGCTTCTTCTGAATCTATCGAGTGGCGACCAAAATCCAAAGATCTCAAGGAGAGGTCTGAGCGTGCCCTACTGCGGGAGTTGGAGGAGACGAGGAAGGCTGTGCAAGATGTCAGGGAGGCACTTATGAGCCGGACGGTTCTTATTGGTAAGAGATCTGTTTCTGGTACCCAGGACAAGTTTGTCACTGTTACGTAGGTTACCAGGTTGCATATGAGGAAATTGTCATGAAAGCCAGTTAGGTATTTATCTATGAAGTCAGTATGAGTGTCCAGTTGATTAATAATATAGTTTTGATGATGATGTATGTTAAATGTTGTTATCAACAGTTTGTACATTGTGTTTTCTTGCATTCTTAGCAGGTGATTCTAATGGCAGTCCCCCTGTTCGCAAATGGAGAATCTCCAGACTCGAAGATTTGTAACTGTTATCCCGATCGGGTACCAGGAACAGGTAAAGCATAGTTCCCATGGCAACATCCCAAATGGAGTGTCCACAGAGGTAAAGATTCATAATAATGTGAGCCACACCACCTCAAATGAATCGTCGCAGAGCTCTGTCGGCAACCATGTGTTTTATAGTACAGATGAAACGGACTATCACACAGATAGGGACTTATCCAGCTACTCTGGGGACACGTTCAACCAGAAGGCCATGGTGGCCCTGAAGGAACTGGATGCTGTGATGGCTGCTGAAGCAGAGGAACTGGAGCGACCCGTGGTCAACAAGAGTCATCAGACTAATGGTGTTTTGGGACCCAGGACCAATAACATTACCATAGTGACCAAGAGTGACCAGGCTGCAGTCAATGGGGTTGTGTCGAGGTCAGGGAGTAGTGTAACTGCCCAGAACAACCGAGTGTCCAGATCCAGTAGTAATGCCACAACTCGGAATAATACGTTTGCTGCACCAGCCCAAGCACCACCACCACCGCCGCCGCCCCCGCCGCCACCACCACCACCTCCTCCACCACCACCAGGTAAAGTGCCATCTCCTTGCTTATGATAGTGTACTGACTGACTGAGTTTAATTTTACGCCGCTTTTAGCAATATTAAACCAATATCACGGCGGGGGGACACCAGAAATGGGCTTCACACATTGTGCCCATGTGGGGAATCGAACCCAGGTCTTTGGCATGACAAGCAAACGCTTTAACCACTAGGCTACCCCACCGCCCCTGATAGTGTACAGTAAAGCAGCAACAAAGGTGTAGACTCTGGGCAGAAAATACTGCTTGTGGAGTGTTTGTACCTGTCATCAGGTACAGGTTGAACCACATTTATTAATACAGGCTCGACTTCGTAATCCTGTTGGTTTTGTGACATTTCCTCTGCAGTTATCTGATGTCAGTTTTATGGTCATGCGACATCAGTTCTATGGTCATGTGATATCAGCTCTATGGGGTCATGTGACATCAGCTCTGTGGTCATGTGACATCAACTTTATGGTCATGTGACATCACCTCTTTGCCTGAGTGGCATCAATCATGTGGTCATGTGACATCAGCTCTGCACTGACCAATGTTTCAAATCCGAGACAGAAACCTAATTTCCTTTGAAATATCAGGGATAAAATAAAAGACCCAAGACTATTTAATCTTCATAAAGTCTATTTTCATCAGTATATTGTTTCATTTTCAGTAACAAATGAAATATTCCTGTGCTTCAAATCTCATACACCAAAGTAAAACAATTTTACAATGTCGTTTTATATGTCTCCATTCTCCTACTATTGTTAAGTCTGTAACATATTGTCTGCATACTGTTCCGATTCCACAGGTCCCAGCAGTAAGATAGAGCCAGGCGGCATGAACGTGAAGAGGATCAACTGGGAGAAGCTGGACAACAACATTGTGGAGAACACAATATGGAGAAATGTCAATGTGAGTAGTTCCAGAGACTAATTGATATGGAATGTTAATATGAGTAGCTTCGGAGAACTTGCTGGAATATCAATGTGAGTAGCTCTATGAATATTGTGTCCTGCAAGGACAAAACAGTTTTCAGAAATACATCCGTCTAATATCTAACAATTATGTTTATTATATATGGTCCCTGCTACTATCTTTTAAAGAAACATGACTCCAAAGACAGTTTGCACATAAACACAGATGTTTAATATTATAGAGAAATACAGTTAGAAATTGCACTTGAATCTAAGGGGTTCACATTCACAATATTCATCCAATCAGATTAAGTGATTTTTTCTTTTGAAGTTCAATCCTGCAGCCATTCAGTCCACACAGAGCTGTCCTCATTTGTTTGATAGTAACTATTGAATATGTTCTGCACATACATACAACTACAGAATTTCAATTTGGGTCCTTATCTGTGTATTTCATGTGATAAATACAATACTGACTGGATGTAACTACTCGTAGGGCTGGCTAAAAAGATCAATAACCAGAAAAATTGTCAATAGCATTATTAATGAATATCAATATGAAAATTGTGTCATTGATAATATTCTACATAAAATTTGGTGATAAAATAAAGTTTCAATATATGCACACAATACTCAAGGTTAGGTCTTTATTAAATAATCATTATGCTGTTTTATTAGTTATCTGTGGATGAACATGTCACCACTAACACCAGTGATGTGAAATGTATACATTTTTTCCGACAATTTTTGGCATTTTTGCTCAAAGTTACTTCTATTCATCAATAATTGATTGATATTTAGTTAACGATTATCAGTCTCTGTGATCTCTACCGATTGGGTAATGATTATCCCTGTTGTAAAAGCATGATGCAGTTCATCTCTGGCATTGATAGATTATCATCCTGCATGACAATGTTCCAACTTTCAGAAAGACAATGCTTCCCTGGAAAAGATGGTCAAGCATATGGAGCTGGAAAATCAGTTTAGTACCAAGATGCAGAAAACACGTAAGTCACCCAGATTAGGTTGAGAGGGCTTCTTTGTCACGTGTGAGGGCACAGATCACAGCTTTGTAGTAAGATTAGCGTTAGAATCTGGAACTGATCCATTAGTGCCAACATGTATCAATAGAAGTAGACTGACTGACTGAGGTTGGTTTTACGCCGCTTTTAGCAATATTCCAGCACCATCATGGCGGGGGACACCAGAAATGGGCTTCACACATTGTACCCATGTGGGGATTCGAACCCGGGTCTTCGGCGTGGCGAGCCAACGCTTTAACCACTAGGCTACCCCACCGCCCCAATAGAAGTAGAAGAAACTATTACATATGGACAGTGCTCTACATGCATCATCAGAACTTGGGACCTAAATGTACCGGTACTACCACAAAGAAAACTGATCATGTTCTAAAGAAAGCTCCTACCAGGGGCGTAGCTACCACTATGAAAAAAAGCCCGGGCTTACACATGATTGTTGCTAAAAAGGTTGGACAAGCCCTCCATGCTATCTAAATATAAAGTTTTGCAACCTATCCGGCTTACATAAAACAATTGGCTTGCTACACGCCTCCCTACCTTTGGTCTTTCTGTTTGTCTATTTGTTTCTTATTTATACTGAATGCAGTAATTTCCCAATATATGATGCTGGTCTGTAAATACTTAAGTCTGGACCTGAGAATCCAGTGACTGACATCATGAGCATCAATCCACATGATTGGTTTACTATGGCATGTATCAACTCGATCCTGTTTGTCAACTTCTGCGAAAAGCATCTGCTGCTGAAGACCATTTCTAAAACAGATTTTCACTTGTCCCTACCTATGGCAGCAAGAATGGATGTTAATTTGATACTAAGATTCAGAAGACATGGGTACAAGGCTTTTTGTCAAAATATTTAGACAAAGTCCATCACTTATGGTCTGTCCCTTGTCTGGATTTCAGATTTTCATGAGAAGCGACAGGAGCTCTGTATTCTTAATCCAAAGAAAGCCTACAATGTGTGTAAGTATATCCCATCCACAGCAGTTTGTCCTGAAATTATGTAGGATTATTTGTTTGTTTTTTAATGCCTCACTGAGCAATATTCAAGCTATATGGTTACAGTCAGTAAATAATCAAGTTTGGACCAGACAATCCAGTGATCGACATCTACGCAAATGGGATACAATGACACCCAATCCCATTAGTCGCTTCTTACAACAAGCATGGGTTGCTAAAAACCAATTCTATCCCAGATCTTCACAGGTTTGAAATTTGTCTGAGGTCATGAAGGTTGAAGTATTTGTACCCACAAAAAGTTCAAATGGACACAAAAAACATTCCACTGAGGCTCTGTGAATCATTTCTTCAGGCTCTCCTTGTCAGATTAAGTTTGCCCAGTCATGAAGTTGAGTTTCACAAATACCTAGGTTTTATTAGTTTCTGGTACCATGGTAGTCAGTGTTTTTACTGAATGTCCCAAGGACTGGCAAAGTGATAGATCCAGGTAAGTGTTGGGAGCAGGTTCTGTCCCTGTACTGTATTCTGCTGTCTGTTGGCAGCCATTCTGATGGGTCACCTGAAGATGACCGGAGCCAAGATGAAGGAGGCCCTGTATCGGATGGATGAACACATCTTGACTCCGGAGCTCATTAAACAACTCCTGGCTTACTCTCCGAATGGGACAGAGGTAACCTCAAGACTTTTACCAAATATTTGTACCAGAATGATGTAGATTTCTGTTGTGAAAGTCTAGTTTAGGAAAGTCAAGTATACTACTCAAGAAAAGCTAAGGTCCATCGGTTCTATGTTACTATGGTTAATTTGACATAGCATGATAAGTTTACCTGTAGTAACATTAAAGAATCATGTATCCTTAACCTTTAATAAGTGGTTTGAAATGCAAATTTTAAAGGGGGCGACATTGAGACCAGTTGCCAATCCTAATTCAAGCAATTCAAAACCACAATTTTCTGCTGACTCGGGTATTATGTGAATCAGTCTAGCAGTGAAAGATTACTTGTATCTTAAATCCACAGAGATAACGTCTCACTTCCACACATTGTACTTACTGGAATGTTTAAACCTGAAGCATACATAGGACCAGGCAATGAATTATATTCCCTCTTGAAAGAAAAGTTTGTTTTTCGCAATACCATGTAATCGTGTTCACTTTGACACTGAAACATTAGATTGACACTGATTCACTTGCCACTTATTAACCCACTGAAAATAACAGGCCACAAGATGCATGAAATGTTAGAGGTAAGTTTTGCACTGAGACACTGTGGAATTATGCAGTCAAGGATTGTTAAGATCTTGTAATCATGAACTCTAAAACTGCCCACATCACTTTTCCTCCATATTTACTTACGAAATATACTTTATTTTTAAAACAATGGCACTGACTGAGGAAGAATTGTCGTGTCCAAGGTTACATGATTACAATAGGCTAAAAAAGAAATAGTTTCTATCGATCATTGGCGTGTCACTTTATCCTTTTATCAGTCTTTTTTCTCATTGATTTATTTTTTTCAAATTCCTCTTGTGTTTCTGTCATCCATGCTTGACAGTTGACATTATATTCAAGAACCACGTTCAATGTGTGTCCAGTTTTGTTTACTGGTATGACTGGTGGGGACAAAATATATATTGTACCTCAGACGCTCATCACCATTCTTTATTTTTTTAAACTAACAATTTCTTTATTTTTTTAAACTAACAATATGTAAAATAATTCTTCTCAGCTCCTCACGTTTGCGAAAAATGTGCCCCAAAACATTTCTAGTAGGCAGCCTAGCAGTGAAGGAATTGACAGACTCAGGACTGACTGACTGACTGAGTTTGGTTTTACGCCGCTTTTAGCAATATTCCAGCAATATCACGGCGGGTGACACCAGAAATGGGCTTCACTCATTGTACCCATGTGGGGATTCGAACCCGGGTCTTCGGCGTGACGAGCCAACGCTTTAACCACTAGACTACCCCACCGCCCCCAAGACTCAGGAAGTGTGACCCATTGTTTCAAGTATTCTTTTGATGTAGGTCAACATATTTTTTCTGTTATGAAGATTCATACAGCTTATTCATCTATTTTTTTTAACCCACTCTTGTCAGATGGCCAGCTATGGTGATTTCAAGGGAGACATTGAAGATCTTAGCAAACCTGACCAGTTCACGTATGAGGTAATCCACTAGTTTGCCACGCACATGCTTGATATGGCGCCACAAGGTAGATGAAGCACTCATACAAGCAGCATGCAGGCTTGGGCCACTAGTGTTCTATGTTTCGCACATAAGTCACCTGATAAGGAAACCAGTTTGTAAACGTGGATGTTGAATATGGAGAAGTCAAGGAGCTAAAAGTACCATCTCCTTGCTGTCTTAGACATTTTTAAGTGTTAGGGTGAAACGCTGTAGAAAATGTAAAATCTAACTCACTCATTCTGGGAATGTGATGAATGGCCCTACTACTGCTGCCCTTCCTAAACAAACAGGATTATTACTTGCAGAATTATTTTGTAGTTGTTTAACTGATACAATTTGATTTTCATTGTGAGAATACAGGAACCATTTTTCCTTGTATGATGTCATTTGATTTCGTGATGACCCTTTGTGGTTTTAATCTCCAGATGAGCAGGATTCCAGGGTACCAATCGCGACTCCACGCTATGCTGTTCAAGACAAACTTTGAGGAGAAAATCTCTGAAATGAAGGAGGTAAAAAGTTATCTCCCCTTAATACGTTGGTCCATCTTGGATGATCCATGTTGGGTATGGGTCCAGAAATCAAAGACACATATACCATTACAAACCACAAAGTAGGTTTTTCCAACTGTCAGCATTTACTGGATCCCATGAACACTCCACCTGCTATTGTAGTCTTCGACCTGTGAAGATCCGGGTTAGAATTGATCTTCAGTAACCCATGCTTGTCGTAAGAGGCGACTAACGGGATCAGGTGGTCAGACTCGCTGACTTGTCTGACACGTGTCATCGTATCCCAGTTGTGTAGATTGATGCTCATGCTGTTAATCACTGGATTGTCTAGTCCAGTCTTGATTATTTACAGACTGCTGCCATATAGCTGTAATATTGCTGAGTGCGGCATAAAACTAAACACAATCACAATATTGTAGTGTTTAGTATACAAGCCAGTCACATCTAAACAATGTCAGCAACGTCTGTGAGAACTGTATCAACATATCCAATATATTCAGACAATATTCAGATTTTACTTGAACTGCCTTGAAAACATTGTCAGCTTGAGCCCCTATTTTCTCCCTTTACGAAGGTTAACCTTAACTCCCATTCTTTAACATTGCACTAAGGTTTCCTTCGTGACTTACAATCAACATAGTGCTTTGTGAAAGGAGGCTCTGCATTTGGTACATTTGTTTGCATGAACTTCAGAACAGTTGTGAGCCTGTATATTTTAAACTAATCATTTGACCTTTTTTCAGAATCTGCATTTCATCAAGACAGCATCAGTAGAAATGAAAGAGAGCAAGAAGTTGGCAAAGATTTTAGAGGTAAGACAAAATATTGTAGAGTAATAGAACTGTTGCGACACGGCTATATGTTTGTTTAAGATGATTTTTGTCCCTAAACCTATGATGAAGTTATATCATTATCACTGACAAAAAGGGAGAACTTTGTTAGAGGAGTGAAGAGACATCATGTCAGCTCTGAAGACCCTTCACAACAGTCATGTTTAACTGATTAAATTAAGATTTGATTTAAACAGTTAGATGAGTGTCAAACCATCTGACTGTGTTAATGCTTTGCCTGTTTACAGACTGGATATTTTTACTTTTGCAATCCAGTTATGATTCAATCTTTCATGTATAAAGCAAAATGGCATCAAAGTATGTTGTCACCGTCAACAATGACTGTTAACATCAGTGAAGAATTGTGCCCTATGATCACGTGATGCCTTGTTTCAGCTGATCCTGGCGATGGGGAACTACATGAACAAGGGCAACCAGAGAGTTGGAGAAGCAGCTGGCTTCAGAGTCACCTTCCTCACACAGGTAAGTCAACACACATCCCTCTCATCATCTACAGGTAATGATAGGCCATCTCTGAGATGTACAAGATGCCATAGTTTGCTTTGCAGAGTTCCAGAGTCAAGCCAGAATCTAATGAGTTCACCCTAATTACGAGTCTGCTTGCGTGGTTTACCAACCTTATATGTCTGCAACTTGATCAGTTCACTTTTTGACCTCCCAAATCAAGGTGACACAATGATAAAACTATAATGCTTGACTAAACAGCAGTAAAAATTAACATGGAGATGCAAGCATTGATAATGATATTTGTTGAATGGTCATTAAGAAGTGTTTCCAGGGCTACAGATAATGGCCGTATTGTCGTATGTACGGATAAAAAATAGACACAATACAGTAGGAAATAATTTAGAAAACGTAGCAGATACGCACCACAGCAATTGTGTACGGTCTTAGCATCATTTACAGACATATTTATCTGAAAAAGTATTGTTTAATTGTTTATTGACCATTTACACCAGAGTAGCAATGCTGTCATGCATATATGAAACGAAGCACAAGTTTAATGATTCACCATTAAATTCCATTCAGTACTCTAAATGTACTTTTATTGTTTTCCAGTACTCATATATTGAAAAAATAAGGAGTACGTACTCCTGATGTTGAAAAATGATCTGGAGTCCTGGTTTCGCTACCGAATGATTTCCAGTTTGACTCTTGTTTAAGAAGATTTTTGCAAACAGCAGTAAAAAACTAAACAGTAAATATATTGTGATATTTGTTGGAAGTTCTAACAGAAATGTTTGACTTCAGAACCAATTCCAGTTTCATGTGTGAGACATCATTACAACGTCATTTATGTGATTAATATGTTTCAATATCTCTCAAGAATTCAAGTGATCGATTCCACCATATCCATCGATGAGTGAAATAAAACTGTGGTTTGTCGATATGGAGGCAGTTGTATATGATGGTAATGTTTATATCCCAGCTGGACGTTACAAAGACAAGCGACAACAAGCTGACCTTCCTCCACGTACTGGTGGACACCATCAAGACCAAGTTCCCAGAGCTCATCACACTCAGCGAGGAAATTAACTCAGTTTCTAAAGCTAGTAAAGGTACTGCTCCTTGTTATATCTTGTTTCAGATCTCTCTCCCATACATAGCAGACCATGTATTAAGGTTAAGTGTATTTCCCCTAACTGAAATGACATGTAGTTTGTCCGCATCCTCTCATAGAGAGTAGGGCTGCGCAATATAACCGGTTTACCGGTATTTACCGGTTCAGACATGAAAACGATACCGAATTACGATACGCAGATCGAAAACCGGTATTTTAACATGCATTCGGAAAACTTCAGAACACTCGAAATCTTCATTCTCTTCCCACAGAGGTTACTCCTGTCATATCTTCCTACATAACCTCTGTTCTAATACGCCATATTTCCCGTCCTCGTAAAATCCCTAGCGGCAAAAGATCGCAACACAAATTATCTCCCTTCTTTCTATCCAATCAGAACACGGTTACATCGAATTTAGATTCAATTTGACTAACACAAGCAAATCGCGGGCCACAAATATCCCCCATCTGCCGGGAATTGTGTTGATGTTACACACAAGACGCTTAATGGCTAGCTTGTCCGCTTGTCAACGAGGGCTATGGAGACGCCATTGATAATGCCATTACATGACTGAGTTCTGTCTAGAAGAAACGTTTGGCGCATCGCTACTGAAGAGGTTCTAGTTTTCCAAGCATAACGGAAATTACCGAGGCCCTTTGAATGATCACTTTGAAACAACGCCGCTGATTGCAATAACTAAATCGGCTTTGTCTCCAATCACGAAGCCTTGAACGCTGACACCAAGAAAGGGTCGATTAGAACAGAGGTTATGTAGGAAGATATGACAGGAGTAACCTCTGTGGGAAGAGAATGGGAAATCTTCAGATATTTCCGTTTTTAAATTGTTCCTTTCTTTGTTTCATTTGTGCCAAACATTATTTACATTTTTATTTTGTCATGATTAAAAGTTTTTATTAACGCCTAATCAAGCATTGTGATTTTGTTGTGTTTTTACTTTGTAAATCAAGCATTAACTCGATTATACGTATTTTTTGTTTAAGAAAACTTCTTGCAATATATTGCAATACATATCGCAATATATGCTTTCGCATCTCAATTTATCGCAATATGAAAATTCCTTGCAATACCCACCCATAATAGAGAGGAAGGTCGATGGTTCTATCCCTATCTGCATCATGCCAAAGATGTTCAAAAATGGTACTTGGTACCATCCTGGGCCCCGTTTCACAAAGCTCTCGTAGCGCTACGACTATCGTAATTCTATGTTATAGTATAGGAGGTAGGTATGCTACGAGGAAAGTTACGAGATCTTAGGCGTACGAGAGTTTTGTGAAACGGGGCCCTGGTGCTGTGAATTAACAGAATAAAACAAGCACTGGTTAGTCAGAGTCAGTATACTGTAACTGAGTTCAGTCTCCATGTTGAACTGCAGCATGGTGTCTGAGTGGGCCTGCACTTTATAAGCAGCATTAGTCTGGATTAGTACTCAGTAATTGATCATTTTGAACTGTTTGCTAAGCTGACCCACATAGTAACAATGAGTATGCTATAAGTGTTGACAATGAGTATGCTTTAACTGTTGACAATGAGTGTTATAAGTGTTGACAATGAGGATGTTTTAACTGTTTACAATGCGTATGTTATAACTGTTGACAATGAGGATGTTATAAGTGTTGACAATGAGTATGCTATTACTGTTGAGGATGAGTATGCTATAAGTGTTGACAATGAGTATGTTTAACTGTTGACAATGAGTATGCTATAAGTGTTGACAATGAGTATGCTATAACTGTTGACAATGAGTATGCTATAAGTGTTGACAATGAGGATGTTTTAACTGTAGACAATGAGTATGCTATTACTGTTGACAATGAGTATGCTATTACTGTTGACAATGAGTATGCTTCAAGTGTTGACAATGAGGATGTTTTAACTGTAGACAATGAGTATGCTATTAGTGTTGACAATGAGTATGTTCTAACTGTTGACAATGAGTATGCTTCAAGTGTTGACAATGAATACTAGTATGTTATAACTGTTGACAATGAGTATGATTCAAGTGTTGACAATGAGTATGTTATAACTGTTGACAATGAGTATGATTCAAGTGTTGACAATGAGTATGTTATAACTGTTGACAATGTGTATGCTGTAAGTGTTGACAATGTGTATGCTGTAAGTGTTGACAATGTGTATGCTGTAAGTGTTGACAATGAGTATGTGTTAAGTGAGTGAGTTTAGTTTTAGGCCGCACTCAGCAATATTCGAGCTATATGGTGGCGGTCTGTAAATAATCGAGTCTGGACCAGACAATCCAGTGATCAGTAGCAAGAGCATCGATCTGCGCAATTGGGAACCGATGACATGTGTCAACCAAGTCAACGAGCCTGACCATCCGATCCCGATAGTCGCCCTGTACGACAAGCATGGGTTAATGAAGATCAATATTTTAACCCAGACAATGAGTATGTTATAAGTGTTAACAATGAGTATGCTGTAAGTGTTGACAATTAGTATGTTATGAGTGTTGACCACACTTATGCTGTAAGTGTTGACAATTAGTATGCTATAACTGTTGACAATGAGTATGCTATAAGTGAGGTGAAATTGGGTTTAACGTCGTGCTTGAGAATATTTCGCTCATATGACGACGTGCATGTGTGTGTATGTGTATGTGCGGCTGCTTGTACTAGCCCAGACTGAAGCTGGTTTTATAGTGCTAGCCCACTGAGATACCATACCACAGTGAAGCATGAATACCCCACTCAGAGACATTATACTGACTCCGAGCGGACCAGTCCTTAGTGTACCCATTAATGCCGAGCGCCAGGCAGGGACCAACAAGTAGCATATTTTAACGTCTTTGGTATGACGCGGTCAGGATCGAACCCGCGACCTTCCGCGCTCCGGGCGGACGCCTAACAACTACACCACGGAGGCAGTCAGGACAATGAGCCTTAACCACTACACCATAAGTGGAGGCGGCTATAACTGTTTATGTTATAAGTGTGGACAATGAGTATGCTATAAGTGTTGACAATGAGTATGCTATAACTGTTGACAATGTATGCTATAAGTGTTGACAAAGAGTATGTTATAAGTGTTGACAATGAGTATGCTATATGTTGAGTATGCTATAACTGTTGACAATGAGTATGCTATAACTGTTGACAATGTGTTGACAAAGAGTATGTTATAGTGTGTTGACAATGAGTATGCTATAAGTGTTGACAAAGAGTATGCTATAACTGTTGACAATGAGTATGCTATAACAAAGTGTTGACAATGAGTATGCTATATATAAGTGTTGACAATGAGTATGCTATAAGTGTTGACAATGAGTATGCTATAAGTGTTGACAATGAGTATGCTATAAGTGTTGACAAAGAGTATGTTATAAGTGTTGACAATGAGTATGCTATAAGTGTTGACAATGAGTATGCTATAAGTGTTGACAATGAGTATGCTATAACTGTTGACAATGAGTATGCTATAAGTGTTGACAATGAGTATGCTATAACTGTTGACAATGTGTATGCTATAAGTGTTGACAAAGAGTATGTTATAACTGTTGACAATGAGTATGCTATAAGTGTTGACAATGTGTATGCTATAAGTGTTGACAATGAGTATGCTATAACTGTTGACAATGACTATGCTATAAGTGTTGACAATGAGTATGCTATAAGTATTGTTTCTATTGCAGTGTCCAACGTTCTGCTCCAGCAGGAGTTACTGGATCTCAGAAAGGCAGTACAGGTACAGCACCTTCATTCTATAACCATACATTCTGACAGGATGGTATATAAATATAGCAGGTTCCTTTTAACAATACATAAACAGTCAACTTGTACAAGGTCACTTGAATCAATGTCAAATGAGATTTATCTAACCTAACATTTAACAGATTTATGTCATCATGTTCACCCATTCACAGATATAGCCTGTCAAATATCGCACAAATATATGTAGATGTTTGATTTTGTTTGTTTGTTTGTTTGTTGCTCTACTCCTGACTCAGCAATATTCCAGCTATATGGCGGCAGTCTGTAAATAATCGAGTCTGGACCAGGCAATCCAGTGATAAACAGCATGAACATCGATCTATGCAATTGTGATATGATGACATGTGTCAACCAAGTCAGCGAGCCTGACCACCCGATCCCGTTAGTCGCCTCTTATGACATGGGTTGCTGAAGACCAATTCTAACCCGGATCTTCACGGGTCTAGATATATGAAGTTTGTCTGATGCTTCCATGGTAATTACAGGAAATCTCCAGCACCCTGGAGAAGATGAAGGGGCACCAACCACCTGCCGGCATCACCGACAGATTCAATGACGTCATTGGTGTATCCTTTACTGTTAGTAACCACTCAGTATTACATAAGGTTTCAGTCATACAAGCGTCAAGAAGATAAACTGCATCAAGCAGAAAATGGGATCAATTGTCCCAGTGCATTCATTTGGGAACAACTTATCTCATGCAGACATCTTTCTGTGTGATGAATTGTACTGCCACCTGTTAAAATAATCCAGTATTTGTATCAGCTGTGGCAGCTTTGAAATTACTTTTCATTATCTTCTGAGTTACGAAAATATGATTGAAATGAATGCTACAAAATGGATAAAATTTCTCATTGTGCTTACATTGAAATGGTAATAGTGACAAGCGATATACACAGTAGGACTCCCTTCTGAACCTTAGATCAGCTACTATATGTTTAAACTAACCCTCTTACAGACCAGGGGCGGTGGGGTAGCCTAGTGGTTAAAGCGTTGGCTCGTCACGCCGAAGACCCGCGTTCGAATCCCCACATGGGTACAATGTGTGAAGCCCATTTCTGGTGTCCCCCGCCATGATGTTGCTGGAATATTGCTAAAAGCAGCGTAAAACCAAACTCAGTCAGTCAGTCTTACAGACCAGTAGACAGATGCGAGAATACATATACCAGACACTGGTTGTTTACAACCTCAGTTGAAGTATAGGTGGATTTTGTTACTTCTGTTTACATAGTATCATTTCTATTTACATTTAATATATGTTCTGATGTTAAAAAATGATTATGTATGTTGTTTCTTGAAAGTACAGAGTAATGATGTATGCATACCTTCTAGATAATATCTAGAAGGTATGCATACATCATTACTCATATTATGTCACCAGCGTCATCATCAAAGGGAGATAATTGAGATCAAATTGTGTAATATTTATATGACACTACAAAATCTTTAATTTACTTTTGATTCAGTTAGTTTTATATTGTGAAAATGTCCCTTTAGGTAAAATTTCCTCATGTAGGTATAGTTAGTTTTGCAAGGTACACATGCTTCTGGAATAGTTTTATCAATATTTTTCCTGAGTTTCCCACAGAAATTCATTGGGCGTGCCACCAGTGAGGTGCAGTCGATGTCCCGTCTTCAGACTACCGCCATGGAGGCGTTCCACGACATGGTGCAGTACTTCGGGGAGGACCCCAACAAGATGGACACAAGCGACATGTTCGGAATATTCAACCAGTTCGTTATTAAGTTTGAGGTGTGTTGTGGGAATTATGTTCCTCCCCATACTGACAGCCCTCGTGTAAATTTCAGCTTAGAGTAGATACCAACTACATGTTATGGATGTTGATGGGTTTATGGAGGAGGTGTAGGTTGGTTGCGATAAAATGAATTTAGGGGATGACCGTCTGATGTTGTCAGATGTGAAAGCTGAGGTTAGATTTGTTTGAAAAACAATCATCTGTCCCCAAGAATGCCAGATAAAAGATTAAAAATAAATTCCCATCAGATTATATGTCAACGAAGAAAAATGTTTGAAGGACATGCATGTCATCAGAAACATTGTGTGTTGTAGGCCTCCCCACCTGACTCCATAGTCGGGGTGTGGGGGAAAATTGATCTTGTTTATCGCTGAGACTCATCGCCGTGTTATAGACTTTTTTCATTTATGTTTTTCTATAATTGTATATAGTCAGCGGAATTGTTCAAATTGTATTTACATTGTATAGACTTTGGGAATAATGATTCATGCCTGAGATGGTGCCAAGACAATTTCAGACACTGTTGTCTATTACATTGGTCTAAGGTTTGTCATTTGATAAGCCTCCATGTGAAATCTAGGTAGATTGTTGGATGTTAGGCATGTTTTCTGCCATGTGTTTTATGTATAATATGTTAACATTAACAGATACCAATATTCTAGGAATATGCAACAAGAATATTTCAAACATTTTTGAGGGGCATGACAAAATACGATATATAACTCCAATCAAACACTCCCCCAATGATAAACAGCCAGTCCCTTAACAGATTTTGACGACATGTTTTAAAGCACCTCCACGTGTCTTCTCAGAAGTTAGGACGTACAATATTGAACAAACTTTATGGATAACAACTTCTATTTTGAGAGTGTGACGTTTTAATACAGATTCTTGCATCTTTGTCAAGCAGGAATGTAAAGGACGCAGGTGTATCTAAACATCGCAGTCATGAAATAAAGGAATTGTTATCCATAAAGTTTTCTCGATATTGTACCTCCACATGCGGTATATTAGTCCTTGATATGAAGAATCATGTGTTCTTTCATTTCTTCACAGTAGTACATACACATATGCCAATGGAGCCCAACTTCACTGCACTATTCTATCAGACAGTGTAATGATATCTGTTTTACAAATTGACTTCATGATGAAGTCACTTTTATGACATCTGTTGCAGCTAATCAATATAAGTCAACTATATCAGAACATGTAACTCGATGCTATCTGTAACTACAGTGTAGTGAATAGAACATTATACCTCACACTGACTACCAGGTTCATTACACATGGATGTTCATTACGAAAGGTTATAAAGGTGTTCTTTATATGTATATGTATATGTAGATAGAACTTTCATTTATTTCTGCATTATTACAGAAATTAAATTAATTTAAATTTCTAATCCTTTCCTTCATTACAAGCTGATTTTATCATATATATATTTTCATTTTCGTCACTAATGCTGGTGTATACAGTGGAATTTCATACATTCAAGTCCAAATATTATGAGAGTGGAAATTAATATTTTTTTCTCATATATCTTTTTTTAAAAATATTACTTTTTATCCCAGCCAAAAGAGATACCTGTTGGCAATATTAATGTCAAATATACCCCAAAAATCTTTGAACTGCATTTAGAAGTGATACAGATAAAGGAGGAAATTTTATGGATGTCAACGTCTGCAATATGAGGAACATGTCCTATTTTCAGAGTATAGTCTTACTCTTCCATCCTTCATTATCTGATGTAGGAGAAAGAATATACTCTAAAACATAGAGTTCCTTATTTGTCATAACTTGATATTCATAAAATTTCCCCTTCATTAGGAATAGCAGTTATTTAGTTCTTCACTCGCCAAAGTTCCCAAATGATGTCCTGATTGACCACCAATGGATCCACCCAAGAGGTCCTTATTAGCAGAAATCTTCTAATGAGACCATCATCCAGTTCCATCTGCACTACTTTCTGCTTGCATGTGTTACACCTTGAAATTCACTTTGCTATAATTGTTCATCTGTCAAAATTATGAATGCTTCACCTACTATAATTTGTTTGTTTTGATTTTTTCAGAAGGCACATCGAGACAATTTGCAGCGTCACTGACATTAGCCGCCACTCACTTTTGCCACAACCCTGCACATTTGATATGGCCTCACGTTTGAGTTGATCTGTTGAGCTTCAGCATGTGAACTGTACCAAACACGTCCATCTATGTTGGCAGTGCACAGGAAAGCCATCTATGTATGTCTTTGATTGTAGTTGGTGTACAGGAAAGCCATCTATGTATGTCTTTGATTGTAGATTGTAGTTGGTGTTGGTGTACAGGAAAGCCATCTATGTATGTCTTTGATTGTAGTTGGTGTACAGGAAAGCCATCTATGTATGGCTTTGATTGTAAGTGGTGTACAGGAAAGCCATCTATGTAAGTACACTGTACCCAGTGTTCAGGAATGCCCCAGCATGACAATTCCGCCAACACAGGAATATCGACACCACGGGTCATCTCCAAACTACAGCTTTATCTGGAGTATGTCATGTATGATAGCTTGATTTGGGGAAATAACAAGCTAGTACCAGATTTTCACAAGTCTCAGAAAAGGTACTAATAGCTTTTTTTATCCTTGGAACTCTTGTACAGACCCCCTTTTTGACAAAGGAATCCTAGCACTATGATTATCGTAATATTTGTTACATACTGAACATGTTTAGTTATAGCAAAACTGCTTCTGAGAATTGCATAAACAGTGTTAGACATTTTATATAATGTGTCGAGGGACCCATGCAGTTTTCTGTTTTAATACTTGAATTAGAAGTGAGTGAGTGAATTTAGTTTTACGCTGCACTGAGCAATATTCCAGCTATATGGCAGTGGTCTGTAAATAATCGAGTCTGGACCAGACAATCCAGTGATCAACATCATGAGCATTGATCTACACAATTGGGATACGATGACATGTGTCAACCAAGCCAGCGATCCCGACCACCCGATCCTGTTAACCGCCTTTTATGACAAGCATGGGTTACTGAAGGTTCATTGTAACCTTCACAGGTCCTTGAATTACAAGACCCGAAATCATTTATATTCAGCATTGGTTATGTCAAGGACCCATTGACATTCATTTTAGATCATATTCATGTCACGTTAGTTACCTTACTACTAGTAAGGTGTAACAATAGCCTAGTGTCACAATAACTCCATTTGTACATACCATGTATCTCCAGAAACTGTAGGATTAGGCCACCAGTTGATTCCATTAATAAACATGCTTCACATTCCACACTCGAGCCTTTGATTGTAGCCACATATCTGAACCAGTTCATATCCCAGGACACCTTGAAAACTGATGGATGTTTTAAGCATCAGAATCAGCTGCAGTGTCATCCCTCTTGTTGGCCCTGCTGCTGCTGCTGCTGTACAAGCTCTCACTTATGCAAGGAACATTGTCCTCATCAGCAAGTATATTGGCATTGTCACTTCATATCTCATGCTTGTATTGTTATCAGCTGTATTCAATGGATGGCCAGTACGAGCTACCAAGACTCTGCCTCACCTTGGGAGTCTTACTGTAGCCCATTTACTTAAAATGTCGAAATTCTGGTCTGATTAGTGAAATATTGAAATTCAGATTTTGTCCTTGTAAATGCTACGTAGTCCTGTAAATATGCATTTTGTATAGTATTACACCTAGATATCTCACAATAGATGAAACATTCAGTGTGCATGTATAGATACAATGAGAACAAAAGCAATATGCAGTCACTGCAGATTTCTAGTCACCATGCAGACAGCTTGGTGTTATTATCTAGCAATGAATATTATCAGTTAAAACCAGTCATATAGTACAAGGCTAGTGAGTGATACATGAATGTTTTAATACCTAAGACTGTTCAGAGAAACCTCATGAAGAATAATGAACAATTGCATGTATGTATGGTTGAATACTGATATTATTAGTTGTTATCTGTATGGTAACAATATCACTCTTGCGACCTTGGAAAGGGAGAAAGAAGCGACAAGATAATAATCCTAATGACATTCCTAATAATATTAATTGTAGTGGCAGTCTTACCACAAGGCTGTGGGTTGTAGCAGCATTAGGCAATATTGGTGCTTGGTCACAGAGAGTAAGTTCAATGTATACCCATGTAGAGAACTAAACTAGGGTAAACAAGTGACCACCCTTTCCATGTGGCAACCTTCAGGTCATATCATGTTTGTGCACATTTTAATACCGGTACTTGCAGGCAACATTCCACAGTATTTTTTATTAGTATATTGTGCTATGTATTGTTACTGTTGTTTTTTGTTAATTAGTTGTTTTGTTAATAATATTATATTTTTAAAGTACGCAGTTACATTTGAATAGAGATATTATGGAAGAAAATTGATTAATATCCGTCCAGTATTCATCTACCAAACTTCATATCAGCAGTGATACATTTACATTACAACCTGACAGAATTTATGGGGGGGGGATGACTTTTATGCAGAAGCATGTACAATGTGAATGACCCTCCCTAAAATTTAGGTACATAGTAAGTGACACCCCCCTTGCATATCATGTACAAAATCAATTACCCCTCCCCCTTCCCATAATTCTTTAACATAATGATTAAATATTTATATGTACAATATCGCTGCCCCCAAGTAAGCACATGAGTACAAAATTGCTGACACCCCCCTCCCCCAGAACAAAATGGGTGGAAACACACACACACACACACACCCTAAAATCATCATCACCCCCCCCTAGCAATAAATTATGAACGGTCCCTAAGAACATTATGAATCCCCACATTATAGTTCTACTATGTCCCTGACAACAATGTACATTTGTTCATTCTATCATGTCTAAATGATCATTACATAACTTCAAGCATCAGGACAAACTGGGTGGTTTCAAACCTGTTTTTATCCAGTACAACTAGCAACTAGTATGTATATGCAATTCTCAATTCAAGACTAGTTGCAAGTCGTATTATCTTATTTAACATATGTTATTTGTTTGGGAGAGGGGTGGGGCAAAGTATGATATTTATGATATGGTCGTTGTGTATAATATGCATATTAATTATTTTATTTTACACAAATTCCGTTATGGGATTATGTACATGTGCAAATCGTTTAGTTTGTTGATTTATGGCACACTCAGCAATATTCCAGCTGTATGGCAGTCATGTGAAATGAGCAGCTTTGTAAAATATTTATAGTCACTTTTAAGTGGTCATACATACATGCTTGATACCAGAGACATCATTTTATTTATTGCCCCCCAAAATCTTAATATGTTGCAGGATATTGGTGGCAATTCCTGTTTTTTCTAAACCATTTAGTTTGTCTGACTCTCTAATACTGTTTGTTTGTTTGTTTGTTTGTTGTTTAACGCCTCACTCAGCAATATTCCAGCTATAATGTGGCGATCTGTCAATAATCAAGTCTGGACCAGACAATCCAGTGATTAACAGCATGAGTATCTGTCTACACAATCTGGATATGATGTCATGTCTACCAAGTCAGCGAGTCTGACCACCCAGTCCTGTTAGTCGCCTCTTACAAGGATGGGTTGCTGAAGATCAATTTTAACCCAGATCTCACAGGTACTCACCCATACTGAATTGTACAGTTTGTAGATTTCTTAACATCCAAATCCAAATGGTATATGTTCCTGATCCACTAAGGTACTTGAGGATCAAACATAAGATGTTTTTGTATATTCATTTGTAATTAGATTTTTAAATTTCATTTTTCATTGTTTATTTGCTTGTATTTCCTTAGCTGTCAATAAATATGTTTGAATTTGAAAAGAACTCTTGCATTTTGACACCACACAAGATTTATTTTATCTAATTCATCTTTGCAGATTGTTTGAAATAAAGCATTTATAATTAGCTCAATGAAACCAGCTGTGACTGGTTAATCACCATGATGTAAAATTTCATAATCCAGATATCTTGAGGTCATGTTGTTGTAAATGACCTCATCTGCTTGTCATACATAGTTGCTGAGTTTATTATCAGTCGCACGCCACACTCAGCAATATTCCAGCTATATGGCAGCGGTCTGTAAATAATGAAGTCTTGACCAGACAATCCAGTGATTAACATCATGAGCATCGATCTATGCAATTGGGATATGATGACGTGTCAACCATGTCAGCGAGCCTGACCACAATTCTAACAGGGATCTTCACAGGTGCTCTCAGTTTGTTTGTTGCTAGTGTGGTACTCAGCATTGTCAGCCAATGAGTTAATGATTGACCACCCATGCTACTGCTGTTTAATGACAAACTGTCCAGCAAATTATTAGGGTGCTGGTTTCATTTCAATCTGTGGCATGCATCGGTTTCATGGGTCCACATTCTATGGAATGTTTTTTTGTTTGTTTGTTGTTTCATATGGCACTCAACTATATGGCAGTGGCCTGTAGATAATCTGGACTAGTCACTCCAGTGATTGACAGCATGAGCACCAATCAGTGCAAATGGGATACGATGACATGTGTCAACCAAGTCAGCCAGCCTGACCACCGATCCCGTTAGTTGCCTCTTACTACAAGCATTGGTTGCTGAAGACTAGTTCTAACCAGACCTTCACAAGTCCAGCATATGCAATTAGATTTCTAAATGGTATGACATATGTAAAGTCCAATATGTCAAGATATCTGTGTTTAAATGAATTCAACACAAACTGTTCTCAGATCAAATGTTGCCAATGTTCACTGTGGAAAGGATAGGGAGATACAGCACTCAGAGTCGGTTTATAACATAAGAAGACATTAATATAAGAGGCCAGCTAAATTAATGTAAAATGTTGATGAAGAAAAGTGGTAATATTTACCATTATGTATAATAGCCACTGGATTTGTGTGTATGCAACATGCGCTCTGTGACTATAACATTTGTGGAAATAATAAATACAAAATTGAGAGCATACCTCTCAAACAAAACGTTTTGTTTGAAGTTTTACATATTACATTGTCAAGAGAAAAATTAGAAAGGCTTTTATGTTTTTTACTGGATAAAATAACCATTTGTAGAAAATTCAACCAAGAAAATGCAAATGAACGGCAAAAGCACAAACTGCTGTTTTAATTTTAAGTTAAATGAATCTTAATAAACTACCGGTATTGTTTTTTAAGTGAACCAACATTTCATAAATCTTAATCTTGGATTCACAGAAATCCCTTTTTTTATCATAACAACACAACAAAAAAGCCTTTATGAATGGTCTCTTTGGGGGCTAAAATTTAGACTACTCAGAGTGAGTTTTTGTGCAAAATATGTAAGATAATGAAACAATATTAAAGTGTCACATATTACACTATTTACATACTTTATATGTTCACTCTGTTTAAATCTCCAGCCTATACGACTCAAATATGAAACGTAATATAGAATCAACGGTGTATCGGGAAAGTTACTACCGTCGTTTCTTCAATATAGTCACTGAAGCATACATAAACTGGGCTGAAAGGAAAAACATCCTCCCAATTAATATTATAGTGAAATGTGTTACATAAAGGCCAGAATTAAAGAAGACTTGAAAAATTTGTTGATATTCTTCATAAAAAGATTCCTCATATGATCTACAAGTCATGACATAAACCAAAATATGGAAGTTTTAACAAATCAACAATTTTATGACCCAATGTCCAAACTTATCGTCGCCGAAGACGCGTGTCGCTTCAGGCGGCAGGAGAAATATCAAACGAAATTCAGTGTCCATGTCTTTGTAACTCATCCATAAGATCGTTACTTCTTTTCATAACGGGATCTACATGCACCTAGGGAGCTTTGACTGGCATTTCCTGGCTTTTGGTCATACAATCTAAACAATCTGCAATATTATCTTCCGACATACGGATAGACAAATGTACAGTTCCCACTGTTAAAATAATGTATAGCATTCGGTGACGTGTACGACGGTCACTCATTGTTAAAACAAATGCATAACGAACAAATCCCCTACTCAGCTGGCGACAGGTGACTTCCGAATGCCGGAAGCGGTAATATATGGCATCCTCTGACGTCATTAATGACATCACAATGTATTGGCCGCCATTATGACGTTACCTGTAAACGGATCACATAAACAGAGGAGAAACACGTTCATGTGAAACAAAAATACACACACATCAATGAACAGGATATGTAATGTTGTCGAAGGTAAGTTGATACAGAAGTGAACACATTTGCCTCACCTTCGTTGTTTAAAAAGTGCGATATTCCAATCTTGATCGAAAAAAGCCATTATAACAAGATGGAAACGTAACCGACATTCGAGTGACACACCCCTTTGAATGTTCCGTGACTCATTCGATGCTACTCAATGTATAATACACTATTTACGTCATAAAACTGTGAAAACCTCCTAGCTTCTACCATATTAGTATCACATACCTGGATTCAAGATGGATACATGCAGATCAGAACCAGATCATTTGAATGTTGAAAGATATGAGACTGCAAAACAAAACTGAAAACCCACGTGGGCCACTGGCACTGCCGCAGCTAATATACCAGATACGTATTCTAGATCGAGTTTTTGCTTTAGGATGATATCATGTGAACTCAAAACTGGTGATCTAATTATAATCATAATTGTGAATACATGTCATGTACCATATGTATGCTGTCACATATGACTGAAATATTACCCAAGGCCAGACTTTCATTCTAAGACCTATTTGTAAAATCAAACCAGTCAGCGTAAATTTTGTAAAAGGTTGCTGTACCTTCTGAGCCACCGAAACATTATACATTGTATAATCTAAGAACGTAAAACGTCTTGGACTTTCATTATAATCGTATCAAAGATTGTCCTGCTTTTGACCGTTCTTTGTCCGCCATTTTTGCATGACAAGGCTAGATCCCACGTACATCATTTTTTATGACAACTAGGCCTCGTGGTTCATTAATGTAAAGGGTAATTTCTTATCGAAGGTCTGTGACTAAAAGACGACAGTGATAGTTACCTTATTGATTTGTTGTGTTACTACATGACAAACGTCCGGTTTCATATTGATCAACATTCGTAGTTTAATACTAAAGGGAAGTCACTCTCTTTCCACTGTTCTAGTACGTAGTCCGCGCACAGTTATCTCCCATGCAATATCAAATAACAAAGAAGTATTTATCGATTTCTTAGGGACCGACGGGTGGGGCGAGATGAGGATCCACTTACCTATTTCGAACTTGAACACGTTTAGCTGCCACAATCCGATACATGTTTAGACCATGAGCGCTTACAAATTAAGGGAGATTGTTTTTGGTTAGGTTCTAAACATTCTTTACACATTGCATGTCACGATCATATAGCTGTTATTACAATTAAACAAGTATTAAACATTTCTTGTATATTTGTTGTTTTCATCGATAGAAACTAAAACTTTCAGCCAGCATGTGGAATGGCAACTTTCTACTAGTCCTTATGAGACCCTCACCTATTTGACAGTCTGACAATGACTATAAAACATACAGTGCTAATTTCTATTATTATATTGTTTTGAGATATTTACTGTGAAAATCATGATACTAAGTATCCTAACGAGAAGTAAAAGCCACTTTAGACCTCCAACACAACGCCCTTTTGTATACATATCATCAACAGACAAGTATCATAAATCCTTGTCCCAAGAGGTACAAAAGATCACAAAAATTGCAAAGCATAACTATAGATATTTTCCTGCCACCTCTCTCCATATGAGATGTTTCCTAGTGTGTGTGTTATCAGTTCTACTCCTGCAGGTGAAGGCGGTGCACCTGCTAGGAACACTTCTGGCTATCATTAGTCTGTCACAGGTGTGTCACACCATCATCACACAGGCAGGTAAGTCCACCAGTCTCCCCTCCCAGTCCCCGACCATTCTCGGGAGAAGCGTTCTAGTAATATTTCTACTTTTAAAATGCTATATGTATTTCACATGTGATTTCTGTTAACAGTCTCTGTGTTCAACTGACTACAATAACCATCTCTGTTCATGCTAAGTTCTTGGTCATGTTCTTCATAAAACCTGCAGTTTCAAAGTCATCACGAATTAGATTGTCCACATGAAAGCGTATCAGTTATTATTGTTATTATTACATGACATATCAAGCCGAATTCAAATTCGGATCGATCTGATTTAAAATCTACGCTCGTTCCACAGCGCGACTTTACACGTTCTTAAGTCATGGGGGAGTTTAGGGGAGTTCAGAATGCATATTGATATGGACGCTTCCAGACATTAGCCCAGGTCCTATCTAAATAGACATGAGCTCTTGAAACTCATGAAGATTAGTAGAATTGTGTATTTGTTGACTTGTGAAGGTTTAATTAAATCACCTATCATTAACGAAAGCGTCTTTTTATTGGGCAGATGCGAAGGCTTTGAAACATCACATGTTAGACACGCTCGCCTTCATTCACCCATCTAACAAAACCAACTTTGTAAAGTTCTGTCTGCACCGGCACTTCTGCTCTCACAAGTCGTTCGCTCCAAGACCAGGATATTTCCACTGGCGAGATGGTACTTCAAAAGCAGAACAGGTTGGTCATCTTCATTTACGACCCAACATGATCAATGATAAAATTTATGCGATAATATGCTATAGATATTATGACAGTTTCGTGAAATGTAGCTAACTTGTGGTGTAGTAGTTGTTCAGATGTATCAGGTAATATTCTGACGTTTATCACGTTTTTCTTTTTCAGGAAGGCTTTTGGCAAACATACACATGCGTACTTAAATCGGATATAAAGCTATGTCCAAGTAAGTATCGCTTTCCCGTCCACTGGAAAAAACCAAACGGTGTCAAATTTGAATCTGTTAATTGTCACACTAAATCGTTTAAACGAAGCCAATCGACCATCAGGAAATTGAAGTCCGCTCCTCTTCTTGGCCTATATATCTTTCGGTTTGTGGAAGCATAAACACCAAACATATTACTTGGGTAGCTAGTTAAATGCAGACCACGGAAGATTCGAGTGTTCTTCAGCAACCCAGTTTGTCTTGAGAAGCGACTAACGGGATCGGGTTGTCAGGCTCGCTGACTTTGTTGTATCCCAGTTGCGAAGGTTGATGTTCATGATACGAGTATCAGCTGGAATATTTCTGAGTGGGTGTTAGAATAATAGATGCGACGGGATCACCTACTATTAATTTCGGGATAACTCAAATGAGATAAAAGAGACAACTTTAATTGTTTACAGTTGACGGCCAATGGAGTCTGTGGGTGGAGTGGTCAGCTTGTTCAGCCGCCTGTCAGGGGGTGGGGAACAGGACGAGGACCAGACAGTGCAATAACCCCCTCCCAGCTAATCATGGCCTCGGGTGTTTTGGCAGATCTGTCGATATAGAAGTCTGTAGCGGTAAATGCAACAACTGTAAGTACAAACCATGTTTCTGTTAGTTCGGATGCAGTTGAAATGTTCTACCCGAATCAGGGGACACTTGAGCGAAATTCATGCATGTTCATCTTTGTGGAAGTGGATCCAGGGCCCCGTTCCACAAAGTTAGCGTAGCGCTAAGGTGATCGTAACTTCCATACTTTAGCATACATTTACGACTGTCGTAACGACTACGATCGCTTTCTGAAACGAGGCCCCTTGGTAGTAGACAGTTTTAACTGGAATAAGTAGCCTAAGTCCGTTCTTAAACTATAGTGTTACGACAGGTTGTAACGTTACGAACACTTTGTGGATAGGGTCCCAGTTTTGCAGATTGATTTCTTAAAACAGTCACACTCCTGTCATTTGTAAAACCACATTGACAGCTTAGCGAACTTGCTATTTTTGGTTTTCCATAAGTTTAGCATGACTAATATATGTTGTGTGATGTTCAGCTGCTTTGGCGAACGGGCTGAAGGAGGCTGAGGAACACCTGGAGGAAGTCCACAAGGCCATGCCACAACTCCGTATAGAGTGTCTGATCGGTCACTGCACCTACAACACCCTCAAGAAGTTCCTCAAACCCTTCATGCGAGTATGTCCACAAACATCCTTCCTGAGTTACCTGTAATTAATAGCTTTAATAAGCCACATACAATAATTTAAATCAGACTTATTACTGGTCTTCGATCTGTCTTCAGTCTTAATTCAAAACTTGTTATATGCATGTACTGACAATGAGGAGGTTAGCATATCAGTATTAAAAGATGATACGAGTCGTTCATACGATTAACCGCGATTTCGCGAACAAGTGAAGATCCTGTTGTCCAAAGGAAAAGGCGTACATCGTGTAAACCCTTCATGGGAAATTATTGAAAGAATAGCTGATGACATTCAAAGGTCATGCTTCTCGTGAGACGGGGGCGGTTGAGTAGCCCAAAGGTTAAAGCGACGCCCCCATTCGGTGCGGGTCCGATGTCGGCCATTTGTGCCCAGGTGGTTTCAAAGCGAGTCGCCCGCTATCGGGTGATAGTATTTAATAATAATAATAATAATAATAAAGACTGAAAAGTTTCACGTTGTAGATATGTTTCAGTGCATGATTTGCGAGTTTACTTTAGATACATCGATACAAGGCAAGGCGAGGGTTCTGTACGGAATGTCTTGCCTTGTGCATTTCGGACATTCGTGAGCTTAATCATTCTCTTCCCACATACGTGTCATATCTTCCTACGAACCTCTGTTCTAATACGGCCATATTTCCCGGTTCTGGTAAATTCCTAGCGGCGAAAAGTCGCAACACGAATTGTCTCCCTTCTTTCTATCCAATTAGAAGACGTGTTACATCGACTTAGATCCAACTTGACTAATACAAGCAAATGTGGGGCCACAGATTTCCCTCGGGGACTCGTGTTGATGTGACACACAAGACATTTAATGGCTGGCGTGTCCGTTGTCAACGAGGGCAATGGAGATCCGCCAATGAGCCGCCGTTACATTACTGAGTTCTGTCTAGAAGAAACATTTGCGCATCGCGCAGGGGTTCTAGTTTTCCCGAAGCATACGGATATTGCCGAGGCCTTGCGAATGATTACTTTTGAAACAACGTCGCTGATTGCACAACCAAATCTGATTGCAACCAATCACGAATCCTGAACACTCGCACCATGAGGGCCGTACTAGAACAGAGGTTCGTAGGAAGATGTGACGAGTAACCTCCGTGGGAAGAGAATGGAGGTTAATGTATTCGGAAATTTTCAAGCAAGGGCTTGTGATGCCCAGCTCATGATTGTTGCAAAAACTGACCTCATCAATTGTTAATGACGTGACAAACGAGATCCCAACGTTCCAAAATCTCACAGCAAGTCATTGGAGGTGGATGATCCACGTCGCACATACTAAATTCTCTAATATTTCCTTGATAAAATATTTCTTGTTACAGGACAAATATTGGTCTCACCTGATCTGCTATAAATATAAGAGGGCGTGTCCAGGTAAGCTGATTATTTTAATATAAGATACGTGTATTAACTCAAATGACTCATACACTTGAGCAATCGTCGTTGGAAAACTATTTCATAACATTTTAAAACTTAAAAAACTTCTATCTACTGGTGTTGGTGTGTTTGAAATCTAAAGACACTGTTGTGTTAGTCTCTATATATCTATTCTGTGTGTCACAGTGGACGGAGGCTGGTCAGCGTGGGGGGCGTGGTCAGAGTGTACAGTGGCATGTGGCAACGGCTACCTGTACAGACAGCGGGCTTGTACCTCCCCAGTCCCGTTAATGGAGGTCAAACCTGTCCTGGGCAGGCCTACCAGAAGAAATCGTGTGTCGCGAAGAAATGTAGTCATATAACAGGTTGGTGAAGACATAGCTCATTGGAGTTGGTTGGTTGGTGTTTCGTTTTAGCACCGCATTCAGCAATATTCCAGCTATATTGCTGCGGTCTGTAAATAATCGAGTCTGGACCAGACAATCCAGTGATCAACAGCATGAACATCGATCTATGCATGCAATTGGGATACGACCAATTGTGTCAACCAAGTCAGCGAGCCTGACCACCCGACCACGTTAGTCGCCTCGTACGACAAGCATGGGTTGCTGAAGATCAGTTCTAACCCGGATCTTCACGGGTAGCCTGTTTGGGCTTCATGAGATTATGTACCTCACTCATCTATCGTTTTAGCACCGCATTCAGCAATATTCCAGCTATATGGCTGCGGTCTGTAAATAATCGAGTCTGGACAAGACAATTCAGTGATCAACAGCATGAACATCGATCTATGCATGCAATTGGGATACGACGACATGTGTCAACCAAGTCATCGAGCCTGACCACCCGACCCCGTTAGTCGCCTCGTACGACAAGCATGGGTTTCTGAAGACCAATTCTAACCCAGATCTTCACGGGTAGCTTGTTTGGGCTTCATGAGATTATGTACCTCACTCATATTAACATAAGTAGAAAATATTTTTGGAAAACTCGTGACAGACGGCGTTAACGTGTGTTTTTTTATCCCCAAAGTATGGCTCTGCCAACCAAGATGCATAAGCGATGCACATCTTGAAATTTGTCAATCGGATCCAGGCTCCTCTAAGAGAGATAACTTTACAGCGAATACAAGTAGTGGCTAAGATTACTAGGCCACACGTGCCTATTTCATGCAACTGGTATATGTCGTTTGAAAGATCATTTATTTATGGCATATTTAGACAACAAAGATTGTGGATATATCCACAACAATACAATGGATTATTGACCGTTGGCAGGGCGTGAGAAGGCTGTGTTTTCCGAGTGGTCCAAGTTCAGCCCGTGCTCCGTATCCTGTGGGACATACGGTAGTCAAGTAACTCGAAGGTCGTGTCTTCTCAAGGGAAAGTGTCTTGTCCGGGGAGAAACAGTGGCAAACCTCATCATCAGCAAGCCGTGTTTTCAGGGGCCTGTCCTAGTAAGTACCATGAGCAGTGCTCAGTCTCATCAAACCAGGGTCTCGATCAACAGAGCGTTCTTAACGTTACGACCTGTCGTAACTCTATAGTATATCATGGGCTACCGATACGAACGCTTTGTGGATCGGGACACTGACCTCTTAATTCGCTACCTCATCAGCTATGTCATTATCAGTAAAGCTGCGCGCAATCTCGTGAAATGTATTTGTAGCCTAGTGGTTAAAGCGTTCGCTCGTCACGCCGAAGACCCAAGACCCGTGTTCCATTCCCCACATGGGTAAATGTGTGAAGCCCTTTTCTGGTGTTTCCCGCCTTGATATTGCTGGAATATTGCTAATACTAGCGGCGAAAAACATGCTCACTCACTGTGAACTAAGCGTGGCTTGAATTATTTTCTTCGGGAACCGCAGAAATACGCTCGTTCTTGCCGAAATCTAATATCAAATTGGATTGGGAAAGCTGAAGGGAAAGTAATTTGAAAATAAGTAGCCTAAAGCTTCAGGTGATTACTACGCATGGATTTCGATATCAGTGGGATGATTATACTTACGTTTCTTTTTTAGGAAAAGGCGGCTGGTCAGATTGGTCAGAATGGACTGACTGTTCCGCCGTATGCGGGGAAGGCAGGAAGACACGACTACGCATGTGCGCTGACCCCTATCCTTCCGGTGGGGAAGGTTGTCTGGGCCCAGAGGTTGAAACGAGTGACTGCAATCGTTCACAGCCTGCTAGCCAAAGTAAGTAAAAAGGGAGCAATTGGTTTCTGTTAACAATACTGAACATTTCAGCAATGTGATTTAAATGTGTGTGTTGTCCATCCATCCATCCATCCATCCATCCATAGAGAGTGAGTTACATTTAGCACTGTTAGTGACCAGTCTTTCTCAACGTCATGTATGCTTAAAGAATCAACAATCCCCAAAGTGACACAATTCCTATTTTACGTTTGCTTGCAACCAATTAACACGTGCAAAATGTGGACAACCAATCAAGGATCCTTATCGGTGCAAAACCCACGTTCAGCTGACCCTACTGCAACTAAGGGAGGCAAATCTGCACAGCGTATTTCAGCGCGCTATACGACTTTATGAAAATAAAGGGCATGTAGAAAAGTAACAAATCATACATTGATGTAATTTCATAAGGGGTAAAACTCCGATGCATCGTGTTTTCATGCTATGAATTAATACAAGCTATATTTGTTATAGATAGATAGTACACACGGAATCGTATAATACTTCACACTGTCTCTGATTTGGTTGATCCGGGTCCCGATCCACAAAGCCTTCGTAACGTTACGACCTGTCGTTACTCTATAGTTTACCATTAGCTTACGAATATCGTAGCGCTACGAACATGTTGTGGATGAGACCCCAAATTCCAAATCCACAAAACATTCGTAGAGCTACGACATTCGCAAGCCTATGACTAAACTATACAGTTACGATAGTTCGTAACATTACGAACGCTTTGTGGATCGGGACCCCGTTGTACCGTGTGGTAGGGTGAGGCAGTATGTCCCATTCACGGGAACAACGGCATCCTTGTTTCTCTGTCCATACAGACAAGACCACGCCAGTAACTAAACCGCCTGCAGCAGCAACAGTTCCCAAGAGAAGGGGGCAATCTGTGAGTTCTTCTGCATATGTTTGTTGTTGTTGTTTTAATACCGCTATCAAATTTAGGGTTACTGACCTTTAATGGTCTTACTACGATGTATGCTTGTTGTAATAAGCGATTAAATTATCAGTTGTTAAGATTAGTTTACATTGTTGATGCTTGTCATTGTGTCTTTAATTAATTTAATCTGTAAACTGGTGCTCATGATGTCATCCTACCGCAAAGTCCCCATGGGCCTCAGTATGTTCATATAGTCTTTATTCATGTAAATGTAGGCCATCGGCCCATGGTACAACGTTATACATTGGCAGCCTTCAAGCTGTAGCGACGACGACTGTGAGCATAGAAGATGAACATGGCAAGATTTCTTAAAACCAGAGGAGTAGCATTACTCATCAGTCGATTAAATTTACACAAGGTTGGATGGGTGAAAACATCGACAGGGATAAAACGTTTACGTAAATCCTCATAGACAGTACAAATCAGTAAAAAGTGGTACTCATTTTCTACATAGTTACAGGAACACATTTCACACAATCTTGAGTTTTTTGGTTTCTTTATATATCTACCAGTTTCTATGTTCAGTTGGTGTGAACTACACCTGAACCTCGCTAAGGCAATACGAAATTTCTTGATAGTTATGCAATGGAGATATGGCTCAACACCAAAAATAAATTTAAATTGAGAATATAGATAAGTTATTGAGCCACTAGACAACGAGGAATGCCATTCCTGTAAATATGTGTTTTGGGCTCTAGATATGAATTATGGTGGTGATATACCTTCAGTGGTTGACGATCTGCATGTTTGTTATATGTTGTGTTGTCTATAGTTTTAGATTTACATGCTCGTATTACATCTGCATTTGCGATTTTCGAGTTGTTTTTAATGTAGTTCGTTAACAGGTTTTAGTTTCTCGGTTAATGTGTCAACAAAACTTGGTTTAGTCACTATATGGCTGAAATACTGCCGATGTGACTAGAAATCTTAACTCACTGATGTCTACCATTGGATTGGCTATCCAAAACCGTGGGTATTTTGCTGGAATATTGATGCGTACGGCGTTAAACTTCAAACAAATTTTAAGATAACACAATGCCATATGAACACATTGTCGTAACTGGTTCAAGGATCTCAATGCGCGTCGTGAACTCGTAATATTTAGAGACTTGTGCCCACCTTACACCTGTCTCAAATTGACCAATACACCAAATAAACTAAATGTTCTGAGAGGAATGTGCGCATACCCTCTGCCATTCCCATTCAGGTGACGCCAGCCTGGGGTGACCCGTACTACGAGCCGTATGACAGGTCCAGAGAGACTCTGTACAAGAAGTGGGGAGAATGGTCCCCCTGCTCCAGATCCTGTGGTGGGGGGTACAGGAAGAGGGAGAGGGGGTGTTTAACTCCCTCCAATGCTACATGTTGTGGGGAGATCAAGCAGATACAGTTCTGCAACATTATCCAATGCCCAGGTACGTTAGGATTCGGTTTTTAAAGTCCATATTGTTCAACACATATTATGAATACATATGTTGAACTTATTCGAAAATACTCAACAACATTTTTGTCAAAAGTGTACCAACATATACACTTCGACTTATCCGAAGAAACGCAACCTATAAAGTATGAATTAATAAGAAATATGCAGGGACCAAGCTATATTTCCAAACAACCGCAACTTCGACACATAGAAGTGTTCGACTCGCTCCTTAGACAATAACCAAGAGAGTATGATATGAATTAAGGTTACAAACCACAAAGTGTCTAGATTTTGACTCTCGAGAAAGAAACTGAAATAGAACCCGAAATGTTTATTTTCACTGTATCTTAAAATCCCATCTAGTACATTCTGAAAGATATTTTGCCCCCATGTTTTTCGAACATCTAGAGAACATAACACCAATTGGGGTGTAACAAAACAGCATTCTTGCAGTGCTTCATGTCTGTACGTATAAGTTTGTTTATATATTTAAATCTTTCTGAAAAATATCATCATTGATTACATACTGTAAGACAGTTCATTGTTAATTTTGCTGCGATTGCGGTAAACTTTCATCCGTTTTATACCAGTACCCCCGGCCCGTGCTTGACGAATCTAATCTGAAAAGTTTGGCTAATGGATTTACACCATACTGATACATTCCGATTGGCTGCAAAAACATTTTAAACTACATGTATTCACTTTCGCCCTATTGCGTATTCATTGATTGAATTAACATTGACTAAGGAATCTGGGTCCCGATCCGCAAAGCGTTCGTAACGTTACGACCTGTCGTAACTCTATTGTTTATCATAGGCTTACGAATGTCGGAGCGCTGCGAATGCTTTGGGGATCGAGACCCAGGATCATAAACGACAACCGGAAGAGTTAGTTGAAAGCCAGCCATCTTGTTTTCCAAAACCAGTGACCGCGCACATTGACAGGGTGGATTTGTAGCGCCCCCTAGCGATATATAAAATAGGTGATTAAAGTGATATGGTAACCGAAGATAATGCTGAAAGATACATGGTATAAAAGTAATTGTTTCTACAGTGAACGGTCGTTGGAGTGATTGGATGCAGTGGTCCACCTGTGACGTTACGTGTGGCAGTGGATCCCGCCGTCGTTATCGCCGCTGCGACAGCCCATTGCCTACCAATGGCGGTGCTTGTATAGGAGAAGATAGCTCTTCAAAAGCCTGCAAGAATGCTCCTTGTAAAGGTCAGTCCCACAAATAATAAACACCAGCCTAATGAAGACGCTTATGAACATCAGTTGCTGGTTGGTCGGTTTGTTGTTTAACGCCGCACTCAGCAATATTCAAGCTATATGGCGGCTGTCTGTAAATAATGGTGTCTGGACCAGACAATCCAGTGAACAACAGCATGAACATCGATCTACGTAATTGGGATACGATGGCATGCGTCAACCAAGTCAGCGAGCCTGACCACCCGATGCCGTTAATCGCCTCTTACGACAAGCATTGATTGCTGAAGACCAATTCTAATCCGGATCTTCAGGGGTCACCTTCAGGTGTGTTTTATACGGAAGAATGCATTTATTTCACGTTTTATGGGGATACTGACAGGGAGACCGTGTACAAAGAATGGTCATGTAGATTTCTACCTGACAGATCCAGACAACCACTGGTCACGCTGGAGTCCGTGGTCAACTTGTGACAAAACCTGTGGTCAAGGACATATCAAACGTGTTAGAGAATGGAAAGGTGATGGACAGAAGAAGAGCCAGACAATGAAAGCGCTGTGCAACATCCACCCATGTCCAGGTAGGTTAAGGGGTGTGTGTTAAGCGTCCTTCACACGGCAAACTAAAGTTTGACAACATATGTTGTTGAAATTTTAAAAGTTGTCAAACCCGCATTTTCACACGTCAAACACATGTTGTCAAACTTTCGTGTCATTTGAGCGCCATGTCCCTATCGATGCGGTCACGTGACAATTTCGTTGACTGCAATTGGTTGTTTCTGAACAGCACGAGTTTGACAACACTTCACACGTCAAACTCGAGTTTGACAACACCGAAAGTTTGATGGAAAAGTAGGTGAGAATAGAGACCGATCCTATTTCTCGACAACTCTTTGACAACTGAAATTGGTGTTGGTGGCGAGTTGTTGGAATGTTCACACTCTCAAACTCGAGTTGTCACGTGTTGTCAAACTTTAGTTTGCCGTGTGAACGCCGCTTTAGCATGCTTATATCAAACTCAATGTCTAGTTAGTCTGCTTATATCAAACTTGTTGTCTAGTTAGTCTGCTTATATCAAACTCGTCTAGTTAGTCTGCGTATATCAAACTCGTTGTCTAGTTAGTCTGCTTATATCAAACTCGTTGTCTAGTAGTCTGCTTATATCAAACTCGTTGTCTAGTTAGTCTGCTTATATCAAACTCGTTGTCTAGTAGTCTGCTTCTATCAAACTCGTTGTCTAGTTAGTCTGCTTACTGGAGTATATCAAACTTGTTGTCTAGTTAGTCTGCTTATATCAAACTCGTTGTCTAGTTAGTCTGCGTATATCAAACTCGTTGTCTAGTTAGTCTGCTTATATCAAACTCGTTGTCTAGTAGTCTGCTTCTATCAAACTCGTTGTCTTGTTAGCCAGCTTGTATCAAATTTGTTTTCTTGTTTGTCCGCTTGTATCAAACTCGTTGTCTAGTAGTCTGCTTCTATCAAACTCGTTGTCTTGTTAGCCAGCTTGTATCAAATTTGTTGTCTAGTTAGTCTGCTTCTATCAAATGTTTTGTCTTGTTAGTCTAGTATATATTTTTAAATATAAATTGTTATCTTGTCACTCTTGATTTGAACTTTTTAGTCTGCTCTCTCACGCTTGTTGGACACTATGTGTAAAATTGGTTGTGTTGTTAGTCTGTTTGAAAACAACAACTGTTGTCTTCTTACTCTGCTGGAATTGAACTTGTGAGTCTGTTTTCTTCGCACTTGTTGTGTGAGTATTTAGGCTGTTAATCTGTTTAGGTGATTCATGTCTTGTCCGCCTTTTTGTATAATATTGATATCGTATTACTCTTCTTGAATTGAACTTGTTAGTCTGTTTGTGTCATGCCAGTTTTATGAAAATTCTTGAAATATAATTGTCAGTCTGGTTGTGTCAATCATGTCTGTAAAGGTGGAACTTGTTAGTCTGCTTGTGTCAATCATGTCTGTAAAGGTGGAACTTGTTAGTCTGCTTGTGATCATACTTTTGGTCTTCATATAAAATTGTTAACTTTCTCAATAATCTGTTTATATCCAACTCATTTTCTTAGTCTGTTTGTATCAAAAGTGGTGTCTTGTTAGTCTGTACATGTCTTGACTTATTCGCCTTGCTAGTCTGGTTGTATCAAAACAGTCTTTACAGTGAGTATCAAACATGTATGGTTAGTCTGTGTATTTAAAACTGTAATTGTTGTTGTTGTATAAACATTGTATGATAAGTAAAGTCTGCTTGTATAATTTTGATATTCGATGAATAAATGTCAGTACATGCCGTTACACTATGACGTAATCTATCCATATGAAGTTGCCGGCAAATGGGGAGCATGGGGTCAATGGGCGGCTTGCAGCAAGAAATGTGGCCTTGGACACTACTTCCGCGACCGCACGTGCACGGACCCTGCCCCATTCAACAACGGTCCGATATGTCGCGGTCCAGGAACCGAGTCGGCATACTGCTACAGCCAACCCTGCCAAGGTAGGCGAGTTTTTTCGTAATTCATAGACAATATCACCCTTTTGTCCTTTCATATCAAATGTATCACTGAGGTTCTTTAGGCATATACAAGTTGGTATTAAGTATAAGACCATTCTCTTCCCACAGAGGTTACTTCTCATATCTTCCTACGAAGAAGATATGACAAGTAACCTCTGTGGGAAGAGAATGGTATAAGACAAAATATATCATTTTCCTGACGAGGGGGCAAGGAAAAGCTGAGAAACGTTGTGAATATAATAAAGAAGTTGACATCCATAATATTTTGTCTTATAAATACATCACTGAAAGTGAAGTTTTAAAACTGAAAAATGTTTACAAACAGTAATAACCAGTGGCACAGAGGTGAAGATATATTTCGTATAACGTGAGTTGTCTGCTAAAACATTGTACTGCAGTTTCAACTGACTCTCACCAATATCCCGGTTAGAATTCAGCAGCACATGCTTGTCGTAAGAGGAGACTAACTGGTTCGGATGGTCAGGCTCACTGACTTGGTTGACACATGTCATCGTATCCCATTTGCGTAGATCGATGCTCATGACGTTGACCACTGGTTTGTCTGATAGTGGAATCGCCTCATATAACTTGAATATTGGTGAGTTCGACGTTAAACAACCCGTGAAGATCCGGGTTAGAATTGGCCTTTAGCAACCCATGTTTGTCACTTGAGGCGATCGGGTGGTCATGTTCGTTGACTTGGTTATCACATGTCATCGTATCCCAATTTCGTAGATCGATGTTCATGACGTTGATCACTGGATTGTCTGTCTAGTTCAGACCCGATTATTCACAGACAGCCGCGATATCTGGATTATTGTTGAGTGCGGCGTTAAATAACACACAATCAACGTTAAATAACACACAATCAACGTTAAATAACAACCCAACCAACGTTAAACAAGACACAATCAAAACAACGAGAGATCTTTCATGCAGTGAAACTGAAGTTCATAACTGATTACGGGGGATGCTGTCATCCATTGTTCATTGGGGCAGCCTAGTGGTTAAAGCGTTCGCTCGTCACGCTGTAGACACGAAATGGGGACAATGTGTGAAACCCATTTCTAGTGTCGCCCGCCGTGATATTGCTGGAAGATAAGCGGCGTACACCCATGCTCACTCACTCACTCATGTTATGTTAACAGCGGCGGTGGGGTAGCCTAGTGGTTAAAGCGTTGGCTCGTCACGCCGAAGGCCTGGGTTCGATTCCCCACATGGGCACAATGTGTTAAGCCCATTTCTGGTGTCCCCCACCGTGATATTGCTGGAATATTGCTAAAAGCGGCGTAAAACTAAACTCAGTCAATCAGTGTTATGTTAACAGCTCCATATACTTCCAGGAGACGAACCAGCTGTGAAGTTCAACAAGAAAAGTTATTTGACGTACAGTCCCCATGCTAAACCAATCCGATACCTGTTGCTGTATCTACGCTTGAAGCCACTGTCTCCGTCCGGGACGCTGATCTACCGTCACAGGGCGTGTCTGGAGGGGACGTGGGACTGCTCCCACACCCTCATCCTTACCCTCGTGAATCATCTCCCAGCTTTGAAGGTGTCGATTGATGGACAGAAGATTGAACTCGTAGCCAAAACGCCAGTAATGGTAGGTGTTACATGTGGAAATGTGCCGTTAACGAGATGTAAACCCTTGCCTCGCGCAGCCTCTCAGTTATCCTGCCTGGCCAAAGAGTTAGTGAGTGAGTAAGTAATGGCTTTAGGCCGCTTTTAGCAATATTCCAGCAATATCACGGCGGGAGACACCAGAAATGAGATTCACACATTGTACCCATGTGGGGAATCGAACCCGGGTCTTCGGCGTGACGAGCGAACGCTTTAACCACGAGGCTACCTCATTGTCCCCCTAGCAAAAGAACTATACACCCAGGTGGCTGAACTACACCAACGTGAAATGGCTATTTGATACTGGTACCATCATGTTCATGGCTCTGTTTACAGTGTGTTTTCGGTGTAGTAGCGTTTTGATTTTTTAAAATCAAATCCAATATTCAAGGGCATACTTTCTTTTACCCGGTAGAGTATTCAATTCAGGTGTTTTATCTATTTATGTTAATGGAATATGTTGGCAAAAGTATCTGGGTACTGTGATTAGTACCGTGGCCAGTTCAACAAAGCGATTTTAGTGTTAAGTCACTGTTAAGACTGTCGAACCTACTGCAACATACGTTTTCGACAGTTGCTAGTTCTAATATTGTGTAACGATACCTGGTTCAAAGTGGCTTGAAACCATTCACTGCTGCTCATTTGACAGCTGAAGATCAGGGTTAGAATTGATCTTCAGCAACCCATGCTTGTCATAAGAGGCGATTAACGGGAACAAGAGGTCAGGCTCGCTGACTTGGTTGATACATGTCATCATATCCCATTGCCATATGCAGGAAATGAAACAAACGACGTATGTTATTCAGTGTGTGGAAAACAAAATATGATTACTGATCATTACTCATTGATTATCTCCTTGACATTTCTTTTCATCCAGGCATCGGAATGGAACGACTTGCTTGTGTATGTGTCACGTGGTAAAAGCTACATCCGGGTAAATGACGGCGAACATGCTCGATATATCCCTGACACACCCTTTCTGGAAGAAATGAATCTAGATGCCTCCATGAGGGTTGGCATTGGAGACAACGACAGTAACGGTAAGAAGAATCTGTAATACCAAATCATCCTGAAACGTGATGCATATATTGTACTGTTTGTTGATTGTTTAACTCCACACACAGCAATATTCCAGCTATATGGCGGCGGTATGTAAATAATCGAGTCTGGACCAGACAATCCAGTGATCATGACATGGGTTGCTGAAGACCAATTCTAACCCAGATCTTCACGGGTCTTTACTTTCTTTAGTTCTTAAACAAAGATCCGCGCCATGGGGTTAATGTGAAAAATCATAGGACCAGGTTGCAACAATTTAAGGCCATTGGAAATACATGCATGTATATTCATATTGACTGACTTAATATTGTGTTACGGCGCATAGGTAGATCTGCAGCAGTACTCTGCACGTTCAAAATGAATGGTTACTGTGTCAGAAGTCAGATTTTTTATTTGCGAGGGGCGGTGGGGTAGCCTAGTGGTTAAAGCGTTCGCTCGTCACACCTAAAACCCCGTTGTTCTGATTTTGCTGGAATATTGAAAAAAACAAATGGCGTAAAACTAAACTCACACCCCAAATAATTGCAATTAGCTTTAGGTATTCGTAACACCCATACCTTCACATAGCTTTTGAAGAGAATCCTTTGCGAAACGCGGATATTATGGAAATTAGGCTGAAATTATCAGAAAATACTTTGTTCCATATTTGTTCAGGGTCCCGATCCACGAAGCATTCGTAGCACTACGACATTCGTGATAAACTACATAGTTACGACAGGTCGTAACGTTACGACCGCTTTGTGGAATACTTTGTGGAACGGGACCCAGGTCCGTTAGTTGAGGTTCCGTTCCACATAGCCATATTAGCGCTAAGACGATGGTGCCTTCCATACTTTAACATCCTATCGCTTTCATTAGATTAGAGGAATTTCATCAGCAAAATTAACTGGACCAAGATAGATTCAAAGTTACAGACTGTTTCAGTTTTCGTTTTCAGCATAGTTTATTGGCCAAAAAGACAAATGGTTTCTGCTCATCGCGTATTGTCGCCTTCTCTCTAATGGTTTCCGTTTGTTTCAGGTTTCCATGGTGTGATATCCAAACTACGTATTAATTTCAAGGACATTGCACTTTACCAGTCCCCTTACTGGATGGGGTTAGGTGCCCCTGACAAAGAACTGCTCATTGAGAAACAGACATCAGGTAAGGGTAAGCACACGATGCAGGAACTACAGTTGGTGGGTAAAAAAAGTTGGCGAATCATCTGAAGCCAGGATCGCATGATTTATGATGATGGAACTGTGAATGTGAAATTTAATCGGCGGGCTAGTTCAGTGGTTAAGGTGTTCGCACGTCTCGCCAAAAACTCCGGGTTCGATTCCTCACATGGGTGTCGCTGTCACCAGACAGCTACTTTACACACTAAACCACGAAGACGGTGAAGTAATTATAAAGGTTAGAGGCTTAATATAAGCTGTGCTGAAGACCTTGATGGGGCGTTAATTATGTTGGCTTGTGTCAAAATGGCCGAAATAACGCCGACACTCACTCTTATGGCACCCGTTTGACAAAGGGATCGTAGCGTTAAGACAGTCCTCTGTTTAAATGTGAGAGTAACGCTCACCTCAGTGCTACGACAGTCCTCTGTTTAAATGTGAGAGAGTTACGCTCGCATCAGCGCCACGGTCGTTCTGTGGAACGAATCCAAGGACAGCAACTTCACTAACATTTTTTAGTTCATTTAACCATAATGTGAATTTGTAAACGTCACGCACCAATGGAATTGCATTATATCTTCCCCTGTTTTTCAGACGGTGGTGTCAATTACCCTGACTTCCGGAGCCGCCATTACGCTCGTTTAAGCTTCAGACATGACCAGACATTAAAAGTTCTTTTGACAGTACGCATGCGCAAATCTAATGGCCTCATCCTGTATAATGAGGGTGTTGTGCCTGGCTCCCACATTGCCCTGTTCTCCGAACAAGGCGCCCTGAAAGTCTGCTTTGCATGTAACCGGAAAAACGTCTTTTGTGAAAAAACATTTGTATTCCAAGTAAGTAACGTAGTTTTCTATTTGTTGTTTCTCTTTGTTAGTTTGGCGTTTTTGTTTTGTTTAGGAGTTTGTTTTTTCTTTTTTGTATTTTGTCATTTTTCGTTTTTGTTAATTTGGTATTTTATGTTTTGTATTTTGTTTCTTGGTTTTTAAGATGGCAGGTAGATGCTCAGCAAATTCTAGGCTTAGGTCGTTCCATTATATACGCAATTATCTTCGATATTTAACTCTTAAATTAATTTCTAGTTTAAGTAATACCATTGTTCGTTTTACCATACACGGACACATTGGTTGCCTCGTCGTCTAAGGCGCCGCGATTCGGAGTGATCTGCAGATGAGCAAAACTGCCGCGAGCTTATGTCCTTTAACTAAAGGTTAAAAAGTCAAATGTATGTTTAAATCGATTAGTAAAATCAGAGATATATAATGATTGGTTCTGGCATATTTTGCAGACCCGAACTTGGTACTATTTATCACTAGAGGTTGAAGGTAACGGGTCTGAATTAAGGATGGACAAAGGCAAGGCTATGCAACTGTCTTGTGTTGGAAGGAAGTACCGTCCTCAGAAGGAGGTCTTCATTGGTGGCGCGCCACCATCCATGTGGACCATCATCACCAACTGGACCGGTGTCACAAAGGGGCATGATGGCAACGTCGACAAAGTGGTCGTCAACGATGAGAAATTCTCCTTCAGACTTGGTGCTTTGTTTGATACAACTGGGACAATCAACTCCATGGGATATTCCCTGTCGGGTAACTATGATATGGTTTGTTTGTTGTTTAACGCCGCACTCAGCAATATTCCAGCTGTATGGGGACCAGACCATCCAATGATTGACATCATGAGCATCGATCTACACCATTGGGAACCGATGACATGTGTCAACCAAGTCAATGAGCCTGACCACCCGATCCCGTTAGTCGCCTCTTGCGACAAACATGAGTTGCTGGGACCCGATCCACAAAACGTTCGTAGCGCTTCGACATTCGTAAGCCTATGATAAACTATAAAGTTGCGACAGGTCGTTACGTTACGAACGATTTGTGGATCAGGACCTAGAAGACCAATTCTTACCCGGATCTTCACGGGTCAGGTAACCTTGAAAATAAGGTGATCACTTGCTTTATAAGAGTGTTGGTTTTCTACACCGAAACTTCGAACTTATTGTAATGAAGTTATATATCCATAAAAGTATGTCCCCTTTACATAATACTAACTTACTGAAGAACCTATCTACCGTCGAAGTCTATCTTTAAAACAGTGACAGTAAAGATCGCATTAGTACCAGGATCGCTTTGTAATATTGTACCTCATATACAACGCCATCTATCGGTGCAGCACACGTGAGCAATGTCGTGGAACATCCAACGAGCAAGGTGACACTTCGATGCGACTTCACAAGCTTCACCAAGGGCGGACATCATGCGAAAGCACAGTGGTTGCTTGGAGATAGGCTCCTCAACTCCTCAAAGGGAGCTCTTATAATGCCAATGGTAATTGTGTAAACATTGTTTCTCTTCACATCAGGCACACCCGCACTGAAGTGATTTTCGATTATCACATGTATTACATCATTAGTTTGTTGTAACTTATAGTTTCCCGTGAACACCGCTCGTCCATCTAGTTTAGTGTTATTTATCATTCTACATTTGTCCTAGTTTTGAGTATGGTTCTACGCCGCTTTTAGCAATATTCCAGCAATATTACGGCGGGGAACACCAGAAATGGGCTTCACACCTTGTACCCATGTGGGGCATCGAACCCGGATCTCCTGCGTTACGAGCGAACGCTTAACAACATATTTGCTCAGGATTTTCTTACAATACAAATATCAAAGGTCAGAGTTCTGCTTTAAATATTTGGCTTTGCAGCTGAAAAACAAATCTCACAATAGAAAAAAAGATAAATTTACGCATGGTGTTTTATGTATGTTTTATTGTAGTTGCCTGGTCTTCAGAATGAGAGCGCGGTTACTCTCATGCCAAGCCACCACAAACAAGGCTTATACGCATGCGTCGTAAACCAAGATGGCCGTCTTACCATAACACATGCATTTGCTCTGACCCGAAGTAACGAGTCCGTCGGTAAGAATGCATTTCTGATGTTATTGTTTTAATATGATTATGTACAAAAGCCAAAGTCAAAGTCGTGAACAAACAAAACAAGACAAAGTCATAGAATTCCCCAGATTTTATGAAAACATCATTCGTGACTGTTGATAACAAGTGATAACAATGGTGATAGTGAATGTTATCAGTGCAAAATATAACACTGACCAATGTAAATCTCCTTAAAGAGGCCATAAAGAAAGATCGCCTTTTTAGGATATGATTTCTTCAAAAGCCATGCGTGCATTCGTTTTTTTTATGAGGATTCCAAGTTACGTTACTATTTGCAGTTCTCGAGGTGACGCCAGAATGGACCATCATAATCGTTCTCATTGTCATCGTTGTCTTCATCTTCATCGCCACGGCTCTTATTGTCAAGAAGGATACAATGTACGTCGAGGGCGTAGCTTGTCTCTTATAACATGTGATATATCGGGTTCGATTTTAGGTGGAGAACCAAAAAATGTAAAACTATTTATAGCACCATAAAATGTAAAGTAGGTAGGGAAGACAATATATTTCGGTTATTTATTCACAAAAAAACAACATTTTTTTATTGGAAACCCAATAATTAGTTCAACAAATTTTCCAGGAAATCCACGGAGTGAGTGAGTTAGTATTTTGTATAAATTTGATACGAAAACGTGTTTTCATGGAATTCAATAGTATGTGTTATCTGTTCTTTGACGGCTGTAATATTTGGTGTGTATCCCATGTCACTGGTTCTAAATGGCCTTCCCCCATAGATACTGTAAATAAATGTTTATCGACCGTTTGAAAATGGCACAATAATGATTAAGACATGAGAATATAAACTTTTTAGGCCCAACAGACACCATAGCAAATGTATAGTATTACTTAAAAAGAGTATCTTTTTTCTTCACGCATCTACCTGGATCTGTCTATGAAGCTGAGCGTGGAAAAACAATATGCACGATCATAATGGATAGTGTTAGCAGCAAACTAGCTTTATCCTGAGTTCAACATAGTCAACAGAAAATTTCTTTATAGAAAAAACATGGCCGCCGGCTATGCTGACGCTAAGGCAAAAATTCTGGAGGACATCAAGAGCAGCCTTAATAAGCCGGACCTGATGGAACTGGGGGACATCCCAGAAGAGGACGAGGACGAGGATGCGAGTATGGTCAGCGCTGTGGAGGATCCGGCTGATGATGAGGATGGAGAGATGACGTTTGACTTGAATGACATAGACTTCGGAGATGACGAGGAAGATGATGTTGATGGTAGGTAAATTTGTCACTTTGTCGTAGCCATGGCATAGAATTACACCAGGTGCTAATTTGCATATGATGGGACCGGATTTTTCTGTTGGCACTGAAGACAGGCTGATTCTAAAATAAGAGCAGTCAAATGGAAACGTTCACAGATTTTCAGCAGTTTCACTGCGGTTCACATATTGTTTTATTCGTATTAAGATATCAACAGTGAGAAGTATAACGATTCATCTTCTTCAATAGGATTTCCAATTCGATCTATACAACCTTTTGTTGAACAAAGGATTAATTAGAGCAAAATATATCTTCACGTTTGTTGATATTTTCTCAATGGATCATTTCTTGAAAGATTTAAAAAATCAAATCGATTACCAGGCATAAGTAAACATTTAACAATTGGATTTTAAACACACACACACACACACACACATTTAAACTTTACAAGACCGAAAGCAGTCACCTTAGAACTGAAAAACATATTAGATAAGGTTCAACAGAACTATGAAACCGGTATCAAATACATCTAAATAGCCATTTCTTCATGGGTATGTACGTTTTATTGCACGGCAGATTAGATGAAAAATATGTATTGAGCAAGAATGCACCGTGTACGAGGGGACGAATCGTCACATGTCGCTGTCATGTGGGAGAGGCACCAGCAGGTGACGTCCAGGAACCTTGGGTTGTATCGCTATCACTAGGATGTACCTTAATGAGGTCCATTTTGGACTTTTTAAAGCAACTTATCTTCTTCATGGAAAATTCGTTGAAGTAATGTACCCGTGATCTGAATTTTCTTTCTTACAAATTCCAGAGACAGAGAGAATGCATCAACTGGGGAGTCAAGTCGCCGCGAGGTTGATCGAGGAAAACAAGGACAAAGTTCTCGAACTCATAACATCAATGATGAGCCTCGATAACCTCGGAGAGTAAGTTCATTGATCAAGCTTTCTTGTATCAGTAACTATGGTCACCTGCTAATACCTACTTTCTGAAAGCACGAACATTTTACTTTCGAAACAGGAGCAACGCAACTTCCGATACCCTCCATTTTCTACTATGGATTAAATATTCATTCATCTTGAAAAGCAACAGCCATGACTTCTTCATTCAGTCAGTGAAATGGGTTGCCAGGTGGTAAACAAGGTTGCGCCCCTCCATGTCAGGATGAGGTTATTGTGAGGCTGAGCATATGGTTAGGGCATCATACCCCTAGGGTTTGAATAGGTTTCACCAAATTGGCAAACATTTCCTGTCTGCCTCTCATTAATATCTACCGAAATACAGCTAAAACACATAACTGACTTTGGAACAAAGCAGCCGCAGTATGCAGAGTTGCCTCCCTTTGGCACGCCAGAGACCTATGATCGTGTGATGCCAGATTCTGTCAGCACCATACTCAGGTTCATCAATGGGTTTCATGAAAGTGGTAAATGCAGGCATCACTTCGTGCTTAACCTGCAGCCGTAATACAACAGGAATGAGGTTAAAGCGACGTTACAATCAGCTCACATAGTCATTGAAACTGGCCTACTGGATAGGTCAAGTCTTGAAATTCTTCCTTAAATTATAAACAGTTACTATAATAGCTTCAGCCCAAAGACTGATTCATTTGTTTTCGTAGAGCGCCAGCGCCACCCTTTCAGCAGGTTACCACAGGACAGATTAGCGTGCCATCAGAGTCACATCGTCAAATTCCGTCAGTTCCCGAGCCAGGATCACCATTTTATGACGTCAACACATCTGCTTTAAGGAATACCAGGTAAAAAACTAATCAAAAGTCTGAAGTACAACTTGTTATTTGATTGATTTGAAGTCGTTTGGTGATGATAGAGAACTGAAAATAGTAACGTTTGATAAGGTCGCTTAAGGTTATTAAATGTACAATGCAAACAGCTTGTATAAATTAATGTGCTTCCCCTTCTTCAGCAGTTCACAAGTACAAAGGCGCTCATCGCCATCACCAACTCGCATGCCACCTGGTCCCATGATTGATGGTGACCAAGAGATGTCTCCAGAGAGAAGATGGTCCGTGTCACATCGTTCCTCGGGCACCTTGTCCCCATCCCGCCGGACGTCAAGTATTTCACCACGCAGACTGTCTCGGTCCATATCTCCTCCAAAAGCATCAGATGAATACGTCATTAATGCCAGACCGTTAGGCTCACCAAGACAAAGCAGAGCCAGTCCACCTTTCGAGTATTCTGATGCAATGGAGTTTTCCGATCCGTACAGTCAAGTTCTGGAGCATGATGATCCACCAATTCAAGCTCCAGATCTTCCTGATCTATCTCTCCTACCTCCTGGGATGTCTGGACCAGCCACACCTCCACTGTTTGGTAGTTTTAGACAATTACCAGTCGTAAATCAAAGGGGGGCACCTTTACCTCCGACCCCCTCTCCTCCGCCTCGACCACCAAGTCCACCTGAGTTACCCCCACCGCAGTTGTGAAGACGATGTGGAATATTCGTTGACAGTGAAATGTCTTCACTTTTCCACAAAAATATTTTGTGTTCATCATGTCCGATAGTAATCGGTGTGATTGGTATCCTTGTTTTTAACAAGTCTTTGCACCCGCATAGGGCATTCTGACGTGGTTTCAATGGCAAGCGTTGCAGTATGGCATGTGTCAATGAGTGATGTGTTTTGTTGTCAGCTCATGTTGTTTCAGTCGTGTTGATTGGGGTCTGCCATAAGGTGTGAGTATTTGTATATATCCTTGGAGGATGTCTTCCGTCGAAAAAGCACGTATCTGAAATGGATGCCATGTGTGTACATGTATATAAAAATATGTTCAATTATAGGTGTGTTATTAAACAACGTATTTCTTAATGAATAATACTCTGTTTGGTAATTAAAGATATGCATGAAAATATGTCATTGATACCCATCCACTGACATGTACGTACGATGCGGGTGATATTGTTAATGACGGACGTACGATGCGGGTAATACCTTTACTGACAATTAGGTACAATATGAGTGGCACTGTTCCTGACAAGGTCGTACGGGACGTATGATACTGTTCTTGACAACGACGTACGGGACGTATGATACTGTCCCTGACGAGGACGTACCGACCATTTGATACTGTTCCTGACAAGGACGTACGATACGTGTGATACTTTTCCTGACAATTAGATACGATATGGGTGATACAGTTCCTGATATCGCTGGTACTGTTTATGATAGGGACGTACGGTATGGGGGGATGCTGTTTCTGACAAGGACGAGTGAGTGAGTGTGATACTTTTCCTGACAATTAGACACGATATGGACGATACAGTTCCTGATATCGGTGGTACTGTTCGTGATGGGGACGTACGGTATGGGCGATGTTGGTTCTGACAAGGACGAGTGAGTGAGTTTAGATTTAAGCCGCACTCAGCAATATTCCAGCTATATGGCGGCGGTCTGTAAATAATCGAGTCTGAACCTGACAACTCAGTGATCACAGCATGAGTATCGATCAACGTAATTGGGATACGATGACTTGTGTCAACCAAGTCAGCGAGCCTGACCACCCGATCCCTTTAGTCGCCTCGTACGACAAGCATGGGTTACTGAAGATCAATTCTAACCCGGATCTTCACGAGTTGACAAGGACGAACGATACAAGTGATACTGTTCCTGACAAAGACGTAAGATATGGGTGATGGTGTTTCTGATAGGGATGTACGATGCATATGATACTGTTCCATTCAAGGACAACGGATATATGTTTGATGGCAGCGACCACAGACATAAAGACGCTCACCTGTAAAATATAGCTATCACCACAGCTGCTAGAAGCGGTCCAACCCAGAACACGTACTGGTTAGACCATGCTTTGTGGGAATACAGACACAGAACTACCGCTGAACCAAAGCTACGGGCAGGATTCAGACTAGTGCCGGTTATCCGAATACTGCAAATTATTATATACTCAAATTGAAATTCAAGATACACATGGCAACACACATTTAAAAAGTGACAGAATGAATGTTTTGTGGGCGTACTACTCTCTCTCACGTCTGTGGGTACATAGCACGAACATCGAGCCACTCCATTCGCATATGCTGTAACAACCCAGTATGGCTTAGTTTAACTCGCGAGCATTGAGATCGCCAGTTTTGTGAGTGGGTATGGTTTTACGCCATTTTTCAGCAATATTTTAGCAATATCACAGCGGGTACACCAGAAATGGGCTTCACACATTGTACTCATGTAGGGAATGGAACCCCTGTCTTCGGTGTGTCGAGCAGATGCTTTAACCACTTGGACAGTAGGGATACCCAACCAACCCACCACATATTTTGTTTATTTTCCGTACGCACCCTGAGAGAATGCCGACGACATACGCGAACCCCACTGCAGTTGGAGCGGCATGCGTCTTCGTCTTCTCCTCCAGCGTGGTCAACAACACAGCAATTACCACAAACGCAGTCAGCAAGAACTCGCAGGCAATAGCCCGCCCAGGTCCCACGGCCATCTCAACGTAGTCATCAGTCAACACCTTGGTGAACAGCTCATCTGGTTCAACAACCTATGGAACAATGAAGTTCTGCCTTAGTAACGTTTCAAACGGTGGTGACATTTCTTGAATAGCTTGACCCCGTTCATCAAAACAGCCATTGCACAACGATGGACATCTGAGATCATTGTAAAGATGGATTTGTTGAACAAGCTCCAGATTATCAAACCCCAGCAAAATGTCACCACAAATGAAATGTCGTTGTACAAAGCAACCTTAGCATTTCGACTGGTAAGTTAGTTACGATACCTCTGCTACGACATTCTTAAGTCTATGTTAAAGTATGGGAGTAGCGCAGTGGTTCAGCGGTACGATCGCTTTTCTGAACGGCGCACAATTGTTTAGCAGCTAAACGACAATCTCCAGTGATATTGTTTATGAGGTTAAAATCTTAATCTCCGCTACAATATTTCAACTTAATCCATAAGAACAATCCCGAATTCTTCGGAACGGGAAAGAGCATCATATATTCATTTTAATCATTTATGTTCTTATTTCTATATTGGGGGGGGGGCGTTAGATTTATGACAAAACTGAGTGTCACAGTTCGATTTTGTAACCTTTTCAGAGCTTCTTTGTGTGGCATTTTAGAAGTTGGAAGTCAGGTAGAACAAGTATATATGGATGACAACTTCTTTTATTCCAGAGCACGACGTTTCCATACAGGTTCTTGTATCGTTTTCAAGTATGAGTCATCCATACTTGAAAACGAAACAAGAACCATACTTGAAAACGATACAAGAACCTGTGCTCTACAACGTCGTGCTCTAGAAAAAAAGTTGTCATCCATATATACTTGTTCTATCTTTTCAGGGCTGCACGACGGTGATGAAATTTGCGTCCCTAGACGAATGTAACATATCAGTTCGAAAAAAACATACTATAATCATTAGTTCATTACTGTAAGTTAGTTTAACATTTTCTATAGTCGTAAGACCGAAATATATATGACAGTTAAGTGTTGAAATTTGATTGTGTGTGAAAACGGTTCGTATATACCGTGTATCTATGACTATCGTAGCTATCTTGGATGATCTTAACTCACATTTGAACATATACTTACGACAGAAGACGCTTTAAAGACAATGAATAAGAAAATAGTCTAGGTGTAATAGCGTTAAAGAAAATACTCTTGGCCACACACGAATTCTCAGTTGTTCGATGGATTTTTACACCGCACTCAGCAATATTCCAGCTATATGGCAGGGGTCTGTACATAATCGAGTCTGGACCAGACAATCCAGGGATCAACAGCATGAGCATCCATCTGCGCAATGGATTATCGGTACGATGACGCAGTTGCCAATATGACTTCATAGTGATGTGACGTTTTCTGGCGCCTATGGTGAGGCTATTCGATCGATAGAGTTGCCTCCCTTAGACGTGCCAGAAACCTGTGATCATGGGTCCTCATCCCAGGTTCGGCTGTCAACTAACATTGCACTGGCACGCCATGATGTAACTGAATCAAGCAACAAAGTTTGCTCTACACCAATATGAAGCGTAAGAGAGGATAGTTTTGACCGTAACTGTTACAGTGAAAGAACGAGGACGATTTTACTGTTGCGGTAAACTAGGCTGACACATGCAAGCACTCCTACACTGACCATGGCGAGGGCGGCTCCGGCGACTCCACCCAGCATCTGCATAACGATGTAAGCGGGCAGTAGGAGAGGCTTCAGAGAACCGGACACACACACCGCTACGCTCACAGCAGGGTTGAAGTGACCACCACTGAAAAAATCAAAATGCAATACTTTATCTTATACAATGGAACCCGACTTATCCGGAAACCTCTCCTACCAGAAAAGCAACTGCAGTCATGGCTGCAGATCAGCATCAGTAAGTAAAACAACCAGGAAACAAAATTAAATAATAGGATAAATAATAATAATAATGGATTTCTATGGCACCTGGGATCCAACTCGAAGCTGTTCAACGGTGCATCACAAAGTCTAAGAGGGATGCTGTTAACCGGAAAATTGCCCGTCATGTTCTGGAAGGTTAGATTGTAGTGAGTATGATTTTACTTACACATACTTTTAGCAACATTCCAGCAATTTCACGGCGGGAGACACCGGAAATGGGCTTCACACATTGTACCCGTGTGGGGAATCGAACCCGGGTCTTCAGCGTGACGAGCGAACGGTTTAACCACAATTCTACCCCCACCGCCCCACGAAAGAGATATGCCTGTAACGGATCATACTTTAGTATGACACAGTATGATATAGGAGGAGGAGTATGTATCATATGTTGAAGCGTTTCGCTGTATCGGCTTTGAGTTGCAGCTGTTGTAGAGATCGGGAAATTTATGTTGCAATGGTTGTTTTAGCATTACATTTTTACCGTATATTTCATTTATGAATATGTCCCTGTCACATCTGCACGTGGGAGAAATAACAGATGCCTAATGCACATTGAGTAGCTCAATAAATTGTTATCATTGTTTAGATGAGTATCTAACCTCCTTGCTGGCATATACTCTTGTAAAAAAGAAACGCAAACCCATATTTTGGTGATTGGAAGTATGATTAAATTCTGGGATGACAACACTGAGGATGACAACTGTGCATAGAGTTCCTCAGTTGAACGAATTCTCTTTACTCAAAATGGCGGTCAAGGTCACCTGCAGTCAATAACATGTATGTTCGCCCCGAGCATTGTCTGGTCTGATCATCTCCACATGCCCGGTGTTGCCGATACCGTTGACGTTGTCGTTGTCGTTCTCCACGTAGGTGGCGTGCACGAATGTAGCGGTCTTGGACGTGGTAACACGTGGTCTTCCAGATCTGGGTCTGTTCCGTGTAGACCCTAATTGTTCATAACGGTCCCGTAGTCTGGAACCCGCCGTGATGTTGCTGGAATATTGCTAAAAACGGCCCAAAACGAAAACTCAGTCAGTCTGGAAATGGTGCTTGTGGCCACATTAAACTCCCTGGCAACGACCGTTCTGGGTTTACCTGCTTTCAAGCAGCGTCCCTCTGCGCTTCATTGAGTCGAGGCATCTCTTGTGACGTCATTCGCCCAAATACAGTCCACGATAACACAAAAGCTCTGCCTTCTTATATGGTTGGTGTTTGACGTGGAGTACCTAAACATTTATTGACTGGGTGGTTTGCAAATTGATTGCAATCTAGCAAGATTACACGTTTTTATCAATCATGTTTTGCTGACATCCAAATTCACAACCTATGCACAAACCTGAACCACGAGGTCAAAGTCACTTTCACATTTCAACCTTTTGCGTAACTTTTTGTTTAGGAGTATATTATTATCACCGGCTGTTCACTTACATAACTGATAATAGGCGTCCCATTGAATGGCCCTGAGAATGCCAACAGGTGGTTTCTAGAGCCATTGTCAATGCTGGGGAGTCGTGGAAGTACGTGTGGATGTGTGCGTGCGTGTGTGTCCTTCAACGATATATTAAAAACTAATTAAACGTTTGGATGGGTGAAATCAGCTACTTCAATCCATGCATTCACAACGGATGCTGTGTATGCTGGAGTTGTAATGTTATTACTTTCAATGGGAGAAAGCAACCATAAGCAACTTGTGCCTCATCATTTGTCTTTTGGGTTAGACGATGGCCATCCTTTGACACATTACTTATCTTGATATGCGGTACTTTTGAACTTCCATGTCCACTAGTGCTCAAAATTAATCATACCACATTTCAAGTTGTATTCGCGAATTTATAGTCACACCGCAGTATATGGCCTTCTGGTGGCGCACAATAGAATGATTAGTATCGTCGCATAAAATGCGTAGTCAGACACTCCACTGCGAAACAAATGTACTGAGCATATACCTGTACATGACTACGTTCTACGTTAACTGTGTCACTACGTCGTTACGGTGTATCAGGTGTACGTGTTCGTGCACGTCTTATCCTGGCACTTGGTCTGCTAAGCCCCGTTACCCGAGCCGATCCTTGCGCTAAGGGGTTCATGACTATATTTTAACATAGGGCTGCGATTAGACTAAGGCTTAGTGTCTGAATATATATAATTTTGATAGTAACAAACAAGCCCATTTATATTGAAAAGGAGCCCTAGGGAGACCAGAGATTCAGAACCTGAGGAAATCTAGACTTGCTTTATTGAGGGCTTTAGCACTGCAGAGAGGGCTTGGCAGTAGGGAAATTAATGTGGCTCAGGGACTGTGACACAGACTAGGCTGCGATTGTCGTGCTAAGACTTTGGCTCCGGATCCACAATGTGTCTGTAGCGTTACGACCTATCGTAGTGCTATTCTTTATCATGGGCTTACGAATGGCGTAATTGTACGAACGCTTTGTGGATAGCGTCCGTGTTGTGAAATGAGGCCCAGGACCCTGCATAATAAATCGATCTTAGCGAGGCGATTGCTGTATGTCAATTAAAGTAATTGAGTTGAGATCGTCTCAGCGCTAAGACCGCTTTGTACAACGGTACCCAGGTCATTACGAAATATGTTGCTTTTACCTTGATTTAGTCTTGTAAACTGTGAATTGGTTTTCTTTATGTTTATGTCAAAGAACAACCATCGTAAATCTGAATGTGAATCAATTAAAATCTCAGAAACCGTCATGATTTTGTGGTACCATTTATGTACGTTTAATAGATTCATCCTTTAATACTGTAGCATCTGACCGTCAGATTATCCAGTGGTACCTATGTACTGTCACTGTAGAGATCTACAAACATATTGCGCAGAATATTGAAAAAAGTAGCACACCTAATTTTGACCTCTTCAGTGTTATCTTATCTGACACTATTTCCTGCAAAATGTGAAAACTTGTTCCCTTTCTTTGTTTAATTCTATGATGACTTCAGGAAGAAAATATAATCAGACGCTGATTAACACACTGATTAAGAAGTTAGCATATCATTATTGTTTAGAAACTGGATTTTAATTAAAAATGTCAAGATATATATTAGATATGAAAAGTGAATAAATTTGCGTATGTATTTGATGTGCACACAGTTCAATTCCAGATTGCACATATCACTTACATCAGCAGTATACGATATTTTGCCCTGTTTCAACGGTGTCCGAAGGTAGCTTAGATCGTCTTAACAAATGATCACCGTATGGGAATAAAGATCTCCTTAGTGCTAAGATCGCTTTGTGAAACGGAGCCCAGATATGATACAAATGTTGAAAGTCTATGTTTAGTATGGGAGCTTATCGAAAAGATAGCTTTTTTAAACGGAACCCACATATGATACATTTGTTTAAAGTCTGTGTTAAAGTATGAGAATAAGATGGCCTTTGCACTAAGATCGCTTTGTGAACCTGGTCCCAGATAGTACAACTATTGATAGGTTTTTGTTAAAGTATTCGAACAGAGCTCGTCTTAGCGCTAAGATCGCTTTATAACGTGGGGCGCTTATCTTTCGTTGTCAACACCATGTATACCATAAGCGTAAATGTTGAAACCAAAGCATGGCAGACATCACCTGATGGACTTTAGCCACTGACCCATAATTCAAAGCATAACATAGAATTATATGCATGGGAGCACCGTAAAAATATATAGCAACATTTGGTGAGCTTCCTTATGTCTTGTTTTTACATACTAAAATTTATATAATAGAATTTGATTTTTTCTATTTATTTATCTATCTATCTATCTATCTATCTATCTATCTATCTATCTATCTATCTATCTATCTATCTATCTATTTATTGAATGTTTGTTTGTTACAGGAACACAACAAAGAGGATACAGTCCTTCACAACAATGAATTCTTTGGCTCTATTTTGTAATAAGAATGTGACGTGTCACCGAAACTGACTGATGCGATACAACGTTAGTTTTTACACAAGATGGATACATTCTATAAGTAAACCAACGTGAATCATTCTATAGAAATCCAATTCTATTACACCATGCTTAACTGTCAACACACCTTCGTCCAGAAACTGCAACAACATCTAGAATACGAATAACTACCTGTTGATTGTCACAAACATGACCAATATATAACCCTTTTAGCAACATTATACAGATAAGAATGAGATGGTTACAGATAGTCATAGTGATGATATAATCACTATAATAATAGTATTGTCTCGCTGCTTTATCAAAGGTACCCAGAAGTTAGTGAGTTTAACGCCGCACTTAGCGAATATCCCAGCAACATTACAGCAGTGGACAGCAGATATGGACGTCAGTCATTGTACACATGGGAAGACTCGAACACGGACCTTCGGCGTGACGAGCGAACGCTTTAACCACTAGGCTACCCAATCGTCCTATCCCGTTCAGAATTAATAACATTATATTCACATACTGGATTAGTGATGTGACGTTAGCCTTCGCATCAGTAACATCAAATGCCATTACCATCTTCGTCGAACCGTGGACTCAAACTGAATTTTCAATTTCATTCAGTAAATAAATAAATACTGTATTTAACGGTATCATGCTGCCATGACGCTTGCATGCTAATTAAAATCATCTCCTTGCACAGTACTGCTGACAATTTGACAGACAAGAGAGGCCCAAGAGAGGATCTTTTAGCTCTATGGTGTAGAATATGTTCATCCTGTGACAATGATTAATGTAGCTAAATTGAATCCCTTTTGTATCCAGTGAAAGGAAATAATCATTACTTTTAAGACGGATATGATTAACTATACTGGAGACAAAGGTGATTGAATCAACAGCTGTGATTAAAATGCAATATCTAAATCGATATTAATTGATTACCCTTATCGAGAATATCCGGTGTCATCACTTACTGTGAGTGGTCCATGCCCATCTATTATCCATTAGTTTGCATTTTTGCCAAATGGATATTATCTCTCACGCGCAAGCGCGCCAAATGGAATATATACACCACACACACAAACACATCAAGTGGAATATATAAGCCTCACGCACGCGCGCTCTACACATTCATTCACACGTGTGTATTACAGTATTCAGAAACCTACACACCTAAAAACCGATGTGAAAACTCATCACATTCATTCTTACTGATAATACAATTAAGTTCATGTTGTTTATTTTCAATGCATATTAACCACGCACCTCATTTTTTCCAAACGTTGCCATCAAGGCTGCCACTGTGAAGCCGGCGCACAGAGCAATAGGCACGATCATAGGCATATGTTCAGGGGTAGAATCCCAATACCCTTCACCCCTGAGGATACCAGACACGCGATTAACACATAAATCGCCGTTCCCAGAAACTCCGCCGCACATGCTTGCATAATGGCTTCAAACACTCGCCAAAACGCCTCCCTCTCTTCCGCCATCTTGTCACTCTCTGGTCGCCAAGGCAAGCCATCTGGGCCCGAGATTTACACCCCGTTGCGAAATCCAATAGTTTAACGTTTTATATTGTGCACAGACGATCTACAAAGTATACGATAGTTGCTATCAGGATGTATTGTCAACGATTTCTCCGCCAGCTGTTGAAGATAAGGTTGGTTTTGAACGCAGGTGTCTCCTCGACCGAGTCGCAAATATGCTCTGTCAGTTCTGGTTATGATTGGCGTTTTATTTCATACTTAGTTGCATTTATTAAAATTATTATATAGATAAATATATATGGTGGTGTATATCATTTACATTCTGACGCGTCCAATCAGCTCTGAGTCACCAGCTGAAAAGTTTCTGGAGAACAGCTGGAACCTTAATTATATTATGTTGGACTCACAAATGTTGTGAGGTCGGGTAGGTAACGTTTTGCTCGATTAATAGTTGAACACGGACGTTAAGGTCGGGGTTGGGATGGATGGAATGGAGTGGATGGGATCGGGACCGATTCGAGTTATGGGACGTTTAAGGAAACTTAGACGTTGATGGACAGGTGTCGGTAAACGTTTGCCGGTTTGGGTTAGCATTGGGGGCGTTGGTTAAGGTTTGGGCCGGCCGAGATGAGCGCGGGCGGTTATGATGATTTAGGTTGTATGGGTGATGAGGATGACGATGTTTTGATGGATGGAACGGACGCGTGCGGTAACGGTTGGGGCTGAGAATGTTAACCGATGATGTTTTGGATTGGCGGGTCTTGTTGCGGATCTGTGTGGACGATCGAGATACTGTTGGGGAGTTGGGATATTTGGTGAATGGTGGCGGGCCGGATGAGATGATCCAGGTCGTTCATCCGTGCGATAAACGGTCGCCCATGTGCGCATGCGGTTCCGGGGGTGCAGCAGGCGCCGTCACGGTGTTTGGAATTGCACGGGATCACGGGTATTTCCGCAGGAGCAAACAAAGGGGAGGCAACTCCCCAGCCCACTCTCAACCGGTGAAAACACATAGCCTAAGTTCAGGGAGTGTAGTTCAAATCCACACTTAACAGCGTTAAACTTTTGTGACCCAGCAACAACTAAAGTTAATCAACGTGACATTATGATTAACAAAAACACATACCCATAATGTTATGCACACCATGGCATGAACCCATCATACTTGTGATGAAATAATATTTGTGTGAGTTTTACGCTGTTTTTAGCAATATTCCAGCAATATCACGGCGGGAGAAAAGGGCTTCACACTTTGTACCCTTGTGGGGAATTGAACCCGGGTCCTCGGCAAGACAAGTGAACGCTTTAACCACTAGGCTTCCTACATTTATCAGAAACAAGTAAGCCTACGGATGATGTGTGTAATTTCTTGCATGTAAATCGTGTCTTCATGGATACCATTATACCGTTTATTACAGAAATGGGCTTCACATTGTACCCATGTGAGAATCCAACCCTGGTCTTCGGGCGTGACGAGCAAACGCTTTAACCACTAGGCTACTCCACCGCCCCTATAAATCTTTGAACAATTGGCCCCAAAATCTGGGGAAGTTAGTAAAATAATTAAGGTTAGACGCTCAGGGAGGTTAACCATTGGGACATGTTGCTATCAGCGAGGTAAACATACGATCACAATGAACCCTAGTATGATGCTCGATATGAATGGTTAAAAAAGTGACACCTAATTAAAACTTAAATTAAATTTCGAGAATTGATCTTCGTATATAACTGTACTTTGTTCTACTGGATAAATATCTATAGATGTGTAATTGTATACCACCAGATGAAGTCAAACTGTCGTATTAAAACAATATCCATTATAAAATAAATGTATTCTGCCTGAGCAAAGCATTCCTGAAAAAAATATGCTGTACTGTTTACAATTACCGATAAATACATATGTTGCCTTGGTGGGATTGGAATCGCGAAATTCATGTCAACAGATCAATCAAACACATATCTTACTTACGTATTTAATTCTTTACTTTTGGTTTCCATGTAAGAAGACCAATATGACCGTGGGCCTGTGTTAACACTGTAATACTTCAGTAGCTGCTACCTTCAGACACCCGTGAAGATCCGGGTTAGAATTGATCTTCCAGTAACCGATGCTTGTCAGAAAGAGGCGATTAACGGGATCGAATTGGTCAGGCTCGCTGGCTTGGTTGACACATGTCATCGGTTCCCAGTGCGTAGATCGATGCTCATGCTGTTGATCCTGGATTGTCTGGTCCAGACTCGATTATTTATAGAGGCAGCCGCCATACTAGCTGGAATATTGCTGAGGTGCGGCGTAAACCTAAACTCTAACTCCACTCCTTCGGACGCTGGAATCGTATTGGGTTCCAGTACCCAGAGATTAATCTGGAGTGTCAGCTCGCCGTACTGCTCTTAATAGTAGTTGCTGGGTGGTTGGACGTCTGGACGCTTGCGCAGAGCCATGTTGGCGCAGGGACCCGGATGTTTGGGTGTGGGTTGCCCGGGCGTTGCTAGGACGGCTTGGTGCCGGTACGACATAGGGTTGGGACGGCAGGTTTGAAGGTTCATTGTGGGTTTAGCAGGTTGGTGGTACGCGCCAAACGTTGGGATGATTTTGTCACCGAAGGCGTTTTGTTGCATTAAGCGTAAAACGGTTTGCGTTGGCGAATGGTTGCTTGGACAGGGATGGATTCATTGACATGCTTTGACGCGGCGGTTTGAGTAAGCGCGACGTTTAAGAACGTTGAGGCAGAATGTTGAGGACGGTTTAAGCGATGGAACAAACTCGTTGTATGACGGCGGACGCGGCCCGGCGTGGTTAACGCTTATTTTAACGACATGGACAAGCAGTCGAGGGAGACGGCTTTGAAGCGCAGGATGACGTTGACAGGTTGAGGGATCGATATTGATTGCCGAGTACCTGCTTCGGGTTCGTCGGTCAGGGGACGGTAGAGTCGTTTTGGGCGACTGTTGTTGTGCGGTCGGTTTACGCTGATATCTGCATATTCTCGCCGACCGTGTGTGCTTTTCAACAGCGAGGGGCTCACGTTATGAAGCCCGGAATCTGAAAGATATATTTTCGAGCATCTACCATCAAAAGTGTGATATTAACAGTAGTTGCTCGTCACGCTGAGAAAGAATAATGAAAGCCATTTCTGATATTCCACTTGTATTATTAACAGAACATTTCCACCATGACGCATTGACCACAATTTCGCTTATGACTATGTATTAACGCCTAGTTTCCCTGGAGTCTGTTACGCCTACACTACGCTCCGACAGTGTCAACCTGGTTCCCTATGGGTCTGTTGCTGGGTCGGGCGTAGCGCGAGCCTGGCTGCTGAAATACTGTGGCGCAGGCGCAACAGACAGGGAACCAGGCTGATGTATTAGCTGTGTGGGCGATAATACCGGTTAACCGGTATATTGCAATTCGAAAATTCACAATACGATATATTGCGGTACACTTTCCGCGAACCGGTTCACCCGATACCATCGGTAATTTTCGTCAAATCTACTAATAACATTTGTATTTCCTTTATATCATTGTACATTAATAGTTCTGAGACTGTTAATCGGTCAAATAATTGCATTTGCGTGACCTTTAAACCATATAAATATAGATGGGTAGACCGGCACTCGTTGGAAGGATAAACAAACCAAAATGGCGGATGCCGCTGCAGACCTTTCTTTCTTGAGTTCCAAACTTTAGAGCTGAAGTATTTGAATTTGGAAATTGATCTCTTGTAAAATCACATCTGAGTCCTCACAGTGGCCAGTTGCATTGTTTCAACAGAAAGAAACAGTACTTTCAGAATGTTAAACCATCTTTGTTAAACTTTCACAATATATTGCAACCACATGTTTAAATACCTGCCTATATCACAATATATCACCAATACGAACATTTTGGCAATGCAACCCCTACCATGTATATGCTTTATTTTTCAGTCGTCAGCGTCTTTGACGCCGAGAAAGACTTATTCAGTTGTTGTAATCCCCAGAAGCTCTCTGATAACGGTGTGCAACGATTCTGTCACAGTACAACCAAACACAGCAATTTAAGCACATGTGCCTAACAATGCATACATCATGATACTTAAAGGCCATTTTGGGTTGCCCCAATCCACTGTGATACGTGATGTTTCAATAATATTACTACAACACAAAGACTTAACGTTTGGATATATGTTGTAACATCATAAACTTACATCATTAGCAATTAAAGCTGCATGCCGATTGTCTACATAAACGTTATATTTTCATGCCTGATATTATTTGGCGCACAACCCACACCAAAAGCAGTGGGATTTGAATTTAGACATTGAACAAAGCTGCAGCACCATTCGCTTTATCCGGAATGGAAACGACTGGCCTATGCTGAAACGACATCCTTGTGATGAAAGCATTCCGGTCGTAGTAGTCACTGGCGGGTTCATTGTCTGCGGCGTCTTCACGATGCGTTGTGAACGGCGCGTTATGGTTTTATGGCACCGGGCTAGGCGGGTTTTGCGCTCCAGGAATATGCCGGGTTAGATGTAACGTTTTGTTTGGCGTATCGTGATGATCGGGCTGTGTGGGCGTTGGGTGAATGATGAAAAGATGGGTTGGTTAAGGTCGTGGATGGATGCTTGGCGATACGGTTTGGGGTCGGCGGGTCGGCGGGTACGGTAGGTCGTTGTTGGTGGATGACGACGGGCGTGGTTTGGGATACGGTTCGTACCGGTTAATGGCCGACCGTTTTGATGGGGTGGTTCTGGGATGGGCGAGGATGACGAACGATTGGACGTTGGACGGGATAAACAAAACGGCTGTTCGGTTGGGTTAGGTTGGGTAGTTAATTGGGGTTGGTTCGGGATTAAGGATGGACATAGG